AACTAACTAACATAGACCCTGCCATAAAATGGGGAGGGTGCAAGACTAACTTCCGCTAGAAGTAGGTGATTCTCAGGGTCTATGATGGTCTATGTTAGTTTGGAAATGCTTGGGGGATGGTATATGTTTTGAGGAGTCAATGTACTTGTTCGTAGACTCGTTAACTCAAACATACTCAAACATGCTCATTGTTGGGGCGTCTTGCATAGATTCTTGCTTGCCTCGCACTTCGCCTGCAGCACCTCAGCAAGGCTGCTACCAGCCATGTTGGATCGAGGGTACCAAAGAGCTTGGATATGGAGGTGTTCTAAGATGTCCTAAGTCATGGTGCTACAGTGGTAACCTCTGGTAATTTAACATAGCTATTGAACATGGCCATAGAAATACTTGATCTACCCATTAATTAAAAATTGTGAGTTTCCATAGTTATGTCAGTTTACCAAAGGGTACCCCTTGTTTTTATCCGTTTTAGATTGGGATTTCTCCATGAAATCAACCATCCAGCAGGTCTCCTAAAAGTCCACGAACGCGGTTCGATGGATTTTTTGAACAGAGGCAGCCACCACCAAGCACCGGAGATATTTATAACCAATAGCCATACATATCCCATGATTGCGGGTTTCTATGATGTGTTTATGATGTTTATGTGTTCACATGTGTTCACATTTTGTGCTGCGCCATGATGACGAACCACTCCCAGTCACTATCAGCCTTGACTATGCAATTGAATTCACAAAATCACTAGGGTATGGGTTCAACATTCAGACTCAAAAAAAAACACGGGCTGGTTTGGTAGACCATCCCATTTTGATCCATTTATGGATGCCTAACTTTGACACCACACCACAGCCAAGTGGCTGATACGACCGTTGCCCTTGTCGATGCGAGGCAGAAAGCCTCAGGATCAAGTCAACACGTCGAATTTCACCGATGGACATCCCATGATTTCTCCAGGATAAATATGTGGTGGATGTTCTGGATTCTGTGTATATACATATATATATATGTGTGTAAATATAATATATATATATATATATGCCATATAAATATATATATATATATATGCTATATAAATATATATATATATAAATGTGTGTGTGGGTGTGTGTGTGTGTGTTACTATGTTACTATGTTGGTTGACTGTAGGGTAGGCCCTGAATAAATCCCTGGCCCGTTTCATTGGGGAGGCTCCATTTTGGGTCCCATAATCAGTCGGGAAACATTGAAGGATACGATGGATATCGATGGATATCGATGGATTACCATGGGATACACCTCACAGACCCAAGCCTTGCTTTTCTTCGTTGGGGCAAAGAACAGACCCATTCAATTCCCGTTTTGATCCTTAAAAGGCTGGGTGGAGGTGAACTATCCTTTTACTGAATGATTGCAACATTCGCCCAGCCCTATCTGCACCTGTGCCAATGGTCACGTCAACCTGCTGGCAGCACGCCAGTGAGGGCAGTGATCAAACGTGCCAGGCCCTGTGGCACTAGGAGAAAACAAACGATCTTGTGATGAGTGTGGTTCCGCTTGGTCAATGGCTTCCAATCGTTTGCAACTTCAGATCAGTGAGATATAGCAACCCCCCAAAAGAATCCAAAAGATAGAAACGTATTGTATAACCCATAGGATCCATGTATGCCATATATGCTAACATTGGGGGTATATTGATGGTAAATGTTACCATATATGGCATACATGGATCCTATGGGTAATATTGTATCAGTCTATGATCCCATCAAATATCTGCAATTTCTTGGAGCTATCGCTGGCACATGGGCCTTGCCATTGCCAGACTCTTCTGCAAGTCCTGGCTGCCATTATCTGAAAGGTCGCTCTCTAGCGAGGGGGGAAGTTGCTTGGGAACAACTCCAAAACTCATGGGTTCCTGCATAGTTCCCTCCATGTTCCGCCCACCGCAACCATGTCTGTGATAAAATGAGTCCACCATCGTTGATGACAGTAAGGTATTATTCAAACATATTCAAACCATCTCCTCTCGGCAATCTTTAACCAGCAAAAGCATGCAAAAACCAATGAGAACGCTTTAGCCGCGAGTCAGTGTAAACAAATCGTTAATGATTGTGGGACCTTACGCTAACTAACTGTGGCAATCGCTCAACATACCGGACTGAACTGCGGGCCTAGACGCAAATCAATACAATAAAATCAATAAAAAAGTAAGGCTTGGCAACGTGGCAAAACAACAAACAACAGAACGTAGAACAAAAATAATTGATGAACATCTCTGGACTGTGACACTGGGAAAGCCTTGTGATCTCAGTGTATTGTTTCGTAAGACCGGGGAGGGTCAGAAAATGTTAGAAAGCGCTCCAGAATGGAAGGACTTCGGGGATTCTGACTTGGATCCTGCCTATATCTGCAGCGAAGATAGACTGGGCGAATTCATCAACCCACAAGCCTGCAACAAAAGATCCATTGTGTACCATTCTTAATTCTTAACTCAGTTTTTGGTATACATAATATTCCCCCACAATTAATCACTATTGACCACCATTTGTGATGAGATTGTTTCAGGTCTTTAGACGTTGGCTGGAGCCACAGCCCGTGCAACGCTGGGGGTTCCCTTTGGCAATGGTGCTGAAGTGGTTCGGAACCAGCCCGTTGGCTGAAGGAAGAAAGCGGTCATCGCTCTGCCCTGGTCGACACTGGGACTTTGATTTGCGTGTACTTTGTAAGCTTGGAGTCGGATGCACATGTGCAGGCCTACTAGATTGATCTACTACATCTACATTCTGAATCTGCTAGCTGCGTGTTTCCAAATGCAGAGGGACGAGTGACCAGTGCATATCATTGTGTCACGCCAATCACAGGTTTCATTGCCAGCTCAACTCCGCCCGGATCCAAATGGACCCAGGATGAAATGTGACGGGCCGCAAGCTCTGGCTCGCAAAATCAGCCCTCATCCTACGGAACCAATCCAACACGAAGCTACTAGCAGCAGCAAGCATGCAATGAAGAGTCTGATGAATAACGATTAAACTCCACACACCACAATTTTCCGTTCACTTTTGATGGTTTCAGGCTTGGCACTCCTAGTATCATCCTAACATCTCCTAGTGCCACTTGTTTGTCCGTGCGATTTCAACTGCTGCCCAGCCGAGATAAAAAAATGCAGTGCCCCTCTCAGCCGATGTCAGCTGATGACTGATGGCTGAGCAAACGTATGCTTGGTCCACGTAAGGTGTTGGGAAGTGCGTCAAGGAATCAATATTCATATTTGGCACATGTACACCAGGTGTATTTTTGTGTTCCATGTTCATCGAGATAGTTCCCATCACGCTCATAGCAGTCATTGCTCTTTGGACAAAACGTCAGAAGCAAAACTAAAGATCTGCACCATAGCTGCTGCCCTGTCGAAGGTGGGTCATTTCCATGTCGAACCATTACTGAAGTCAATTGCTGCGGTGACAACAGGCACCGTACATCGTGTAATGGCGCCGTTGAATACATCGTGCTGTGTCCCGGCCTTGGAGATGAAATGAAACGTGTCAAGTGTGAAGGAAACATGCGGGAACATGATTTCATGTTTCACCATGTTTCACCATGTTTCACCATGTTTCACCATGTTTCACCATGTTTCACCACGTTTCACCATGTTTCACCATGTTTCACCATGTTTCATGTTTAACCCTTTCCTCTGGCCGCTACATTAGAAAGAATGACAGCGCAGAAGGATCGCAGGAGCCACTCTGGGACAAGTTGCGAAATTCACAGGTCGGACCCTTGGAATGCCAGTTGGTGGAGTCAACCAGATATCTGTGTGAAACGGATCTAGTAGGTCGATTGAACGTTTGTGGTGCCCCAACCACCTATTTCAACCACCGTGCTGCCCATCTGAAGCATGACCATCAAGCTCTGTCTGTGGGCAGTTCTGTGGATTTCATCTGATGTTCAATGATGTTCAATGGGGCCCAATGCCATAAACCTACCATTTGAGTCATTTGAGGTTTGGTGTTTTACATGGATTTTTTACCAGCCATTTGTGGGTAATAAATACAGGGGATGGTGTTTACTATCGTCCAAGCCCTTGGTGGCTCCCCCGCTATACGGAAGACATTCTTCGTCAGATCACGCTGTGAAACTTGCCGCGATACTTCGCCGCGGCCTGGGGCACATGAGGCACATGTCCCTTGTGCAATGGGAAAGTGCTATGAATCAATGTGCGTGCAAACGCATGTAGCTATAGTTATAGAATCTTAAACATACACCTTGCATACGTATTACGCATTTCAAATATGTATGACTTCCATAATATCATATGCAATATTTTTATAGTGTATAGTATATACATATACCTGGACATCCAAGGGCTGCATTGAACCGAAAAGTAGTGAACGATGTGAACGACCAAAAATGACGTAAAAAAAAACGCAGAAAAGACGCGAAAGACCAACTTTTTGACACCAAAACTGTGGCATTGAATCCATCACTCTTAGCCCTTGATTTTTAGGCCTGCTTCCGAAAATCCACAAAGATTGAACTATGCAGCTCAAGGACTGTCTATATATAATATTTGAATATAACAGCCTGTGCACTAAAGGATCCAAGGGCTTCTAAAACACAGCAATCCTAGGTACACTAGACATACGCACAACAATCCTAGGCTCGAACCCGATGAAGGGCAAAAGGGGATGAGAATCTGACTGATCTGTTCATATCCCTGGCCACATGCAACCTTGAGATGAATGGATCAGAAAGAACCATCAACCATTGGACCATCATCAACCCTGCAAACCCGAAAAAACACACACACAACAAAAAAAAGAAAGGTTCGAAATAAATAATCAAGAAGAACCAAGCCAACAAACAAACATCAAAAAAATGCAAACAGAACAAAGCAAAAAGAACCATTCAGAAACAAATTTCAAAACTAAACTAAAAGGTCCAAGACTGCTCCCCCAAAACTGGGCTCATTTCGATCTATTTAGGACCCCCCTTGGTGATTCAAATCACCCACTGCCACGGTGCCTGCGCTAGATGCTCTCAGGAGGCTTTGGGCCTGCCGGCGGAAAACCATCAGATTTGACATCTGATGGTTTGAAACAGATTTTTTCCATGGAGAAAACCCATGGTTTCCGGTTGAGATTTTCCCTTCAACCAAGCCACTGCTACATGGCTGTCCCTATGTTATTGTATCATTATGCTATTTTGAGGTATTGTGTATCTATCTATCTATCCTATCCTATGCTATGCTATGCTATCCTATCCTATCCTATCCTATCCAATCTATCTAATCTTATCCTATCCATCTAATCTTATCCTTTCTATCTAATCTTATCCGATCCGATCCATCTAATCTTATCCTATCTATCTAATCTTATCCTATCTATCTAATCTTATCCTATCTATCTAATCTTATCCTATCTATCTAATCTTATCCTATCTATATAATCTTATCCTATCTATCTAATCTTATCCTATCTATCTAATCTTATCCTATCTATATAATCTTATCCTATCTAGATAATCTTATCCTATCTATCTATCTAATCTTACCCTATCTAATCTTATCCTATCAAATCTTATCCTATCAAATATTATCCTATCTAATCTTTCTATCTATCGATCTATCTAATCTAATCTAATCCAATCTAATCTAGTCTAATCTATCTATCTATCGATATTCCCCATGTAAGACCCACTTATCTTTTCTTCTTTGACGTTTTCGAAGGGAATCAGACGCCCATGCCACGGTTTTCGCCGGGGGACTGTTCTGATCATTTGGAACTTCAGGATCCCTTTGCAGAGTTGCCTCACCTGGGACAAAGCGCGAAAAACTCTGCCGGGCCTCTGCTGCAATCTCAGGCTTTATCATTTTCAGTGTAACATATACAGTAACATCTATAAATGTCTAGAAAATAATGTCAAGTGAGGATTAATAATCCCCCCCGATTAATCAACCACCACTGCCCAAAAACAAATTGGTAATTTAAAAACAGGTGGTCCCCCCTGATTAATAAACCGTTTGGCCTACCCCCGATTAATCAACCACCAGTGCTGAAATTCATGTTTTTATCCAACAATTTGTATTTCCAATTCTATTTATTTCCAATTGTTTTTTTACCTTGTTTTTATCATCATTGTTATACTTAATAAGGTTTAAGTTGATCATTGAAAATTTCAAAAAACAACTATTCCCCAAATGATCGATTTCTAATTCAATTATTTATAACAATCATCAGTTTGGATAGCTCCCAAAGGGTACCCCCCCCATGAGCCCATGTCCCCCATTAATAATAATCAGGTTTGCACCTGATTAATCAACCACCATGTCCCTAATGTTTTTTCTTTGGATTTGCCTATTCATTCCCAATGTCCCCTATAGCTTTCAGCCAATTGACGTAAGCCATATCCAAAATTTCATGGTTCAGAGTTGCTTATTATTAAGGGGTGGTCAAGAAAACTAGCCAGAAGGTACCCCCCTACCTACCTGGTGGGGGGGGTTATTAATCCGGTGTTGGCATTATAAAGATCATGTAAACGCACATTTAATTATGGTTCAATCCAGTTCAGAGAAGTACCTTTGCCTTGCCTACGTCACTTCGCTGTCGATTCAATGGCTGGGCCGGTGCCCAGCCATGTCAAGTTGTGCCGCTGATTCTGTGTCAGTTGGATACCCGTATGCCCGCAACATCAACACCCACGTGTTTTATTCTTTTCCGGGGAAGTAACGTAGTTCAAAACGAGGATAATGACTGATCCTTAGCAGGCACCAAAAAATAAGTTCATATTATATCATATCATCCTGCTTAACCAACCAGAGGAACCCATAATGATGCCATAATGCTTGGAGGTCCTCCCGTCCGGCGGTCCCATAATGCAAGGCGCTTGATAAGCCAATCCCGAAGGAGCCCACGCGGCTTCCGGAATCGGGCACCGTGGGGTAGGCCTCATGAAACTCGTCCCTCTCGCGTTTGATATACCTCAACTCCTTGGCGAACGCCGGACACGGCGTTCGGAAAAAAGGAGGGGAAGGGGACATCAAAGTTAGGACAGTTAGGAAGATCTTGGAACTTATGATAATTTATGTGAGAGTTTCAAGTGACTCATACCAAATAAGACGATAAACACTGACTGGAAAAACATATGGAAAAGACATCAAAGTAAATACTATAGTTGCGTTTTGACTGCAAAAGCATCCCCCACCAAGCTCCAACCAAATCCAACCAAGCTTTTGCAGTGGCCAAGGTTCATCCAAGATCTGGTAGTAGATTTCCACCATCCTTGCATGTGCAAGAGATGGAAGCTTGTCCATGGCACTTTACGTTGTTATTTGAGAATGCTGATTGCCAGGATGTTTTCGTTGTTCAACCGAATGTCCCTTTGCCTCCTAGACTTATATAGACCCCGTCAAGTCAACAAGGCGAAAAGAAAAACTGTAAGAGATTTTGGCACACACACATTGCTAGCAATCTAGCATACATACATGTGTATATATGTGTGTGTGTGTGCATGAATAAACGTCTCACCACTCATGATGTGCCTCTGTGTGCCTTGCACCTGTCACCAGTGGCTTCTATGCAGCATCCAGCCGAGCATCAGAATGTAGACAAAAACAGACATAAAAAGATAGCACAAAGGCTTCGTCCAAATGCTGAATCGAACCTGTCGAAGCAAATTTTAGCGCGCTATTGACCCGCATCTGTGCAGTTGATAAGGGCCACAACAACAATAAACACATATATAACAACAACAACAACAACAACGACAACAACAACAACAACAACAACAACAGAAACAGCAACAGAAGCAACAACAACTGGGTATTATTGCAAGCAGCAGGGTTCAATGACTTAAAATGACCAGCTTTGCTAGATTTGGATTGAATTTCAAGGATTTTGGCATTTTGGGGGCCCAAATTGGTTGACTAATATCCAAAATCTCTAAGACCATCAGGGAGCCACAGTGAATTGTAGAAAATCATCCGAAATAACCCATGATTCCCTTACTAAACTATGTAGTGTGGTAAACCCAATAGTAAACCAGCCCCAATTTTATCAGAAGCAGACCGCATAAACCATGCCATAGATTCAATATTGGGACCAGCTTTACCACATCATGAACCATTATTCGCCGCTATTACGAATCACTATCGTTAACCATTGTCAACCACTTAATATACATTATTAACGATTATATATATATATATTAAAAAAAAACACTTAATATACATTATTATATATATATATATTCGCCATTAAATATCCATCAGTTGAATGGTGAAAAAAAACAATAATGGACTATTCATCATTAATCCATCAGTTCATATCCCATATTATAACATATATATTTACCATGGATGATCCCTCCCGTCGTTATTCACCAGCGTCCGGTGTTTCCGTTCGGAACTCAGAAATATCGCGCACCGAATTCCAGGCGTCCACGAAGGAATCCGTGGTCACTTGGCACACATTCATCCAGGCCCAGCCCACCGTCAAAGACATCGCCTGACCGGGGACACATGATGGAAAATGGCTAGAAAAACCATGAAGAACGTGATGTTTACCATGTGGCAGTGTGTCAAAACCTTGTACCCCTGGTGAACATCAAAATAGCTGGTAAATGGATGTTCATCCCACTAAAAATGGTATGTATAGGTATTGATCCATAGCCATGTAAAAGTTGATTTTGTGGATGCATCCTGTGAAAGCTTCCCTTAAACCACTCTTTGGAATAACAAGAGGTTAAGAAACCGGGCGGTATGGAACTCCATACCGCAGCAAATTCAATAGCAAAGAAATGTGCAGTGACCCCCCGAGCGCTGCAACCGGAGGCGCAGTGATCATGAAGCTGCGGTAGGACTTGCTCGCCAGGGACCGGTACTCCTGCAAGCCTGGAATCACATCGGATCCATTGGATCCATATGGATCCATGGGTGCTTGGGGGTGCAGTTTCAAACCAACCATGACAAACTGCTTGGTGGTTGAGCCCTACCCCTCTGAAAAATGATGGAGTGAGTAACAGTTGGGATGATGACATTCCCAATATATGGGGAACAAAAATGTATAAACATGTTCCAAACCACCAACCAGCAAACCTTTGTCATCAAATCAAGGTGGGAAGCAGTACCTCTATTGGGGAAAGTTGCAACCTGACCATTCTCTTCTCTTCGGATAAGGTTATATATTTTCTGCAGTCAAACGCTAATTATGAAACACGTAATTACTTGAAAATACTCCAAAATCTGACCAAGTGTATACAAACATGATCAAACGTATCACGTTTGAACCCAGAACGGGAAAAATCTCTTCTGCCAAGCGGCTTAACGTCTTGATGTACCATCCTGGGCAACACAAGAAACTGCACTCACTCTCCATGGCCTTCTGATCCTGAATCCTGGGACTGCAGTAAAAAAACCGCGCTGCAGTCGCTTCCGTTTGACAAGAACATTGTGAATTTGTGGGCAACCCCTACGATAAATACCAATAAAGCCTCCCCAAGGATAATTACCATCAATACGAGATATAAACCAAACATATACAGCATATCAGCATATATGTATATATATATACATATAGTTGGAGTTTTACTATTGGGTTCCCACCTTAACTTGCCTCAGTCCACCATGAAACCCTCAGAAATCTCACTTTTTAACTGCGGCCACAGAGTCCTAGAACTACGGTGACAATGATGCCATAGTACCAAACCTGTTGATATGGACACCTCGGAGCCAAAAAACATGGCAAAGACATACCAGTAGCAGCTACTGATAGCCACAGGTTGAGGATGACAGCAGGTGAAATGAATGCCAAACAGGCAGTGAAACATATTTATGGTATATACCAATACGTCTTCTATTTCGGGTCTTTTGAACACCGAAAAAGACAGCTGGCCATTCTTTGCAAAGGACCACAACAACACATGTCTATGAAGCTTGGGAGATTTGAAAGGTCATTTTCATAGACGTGAAAGCAAGCTGGGTGAGCAAAAGGATATGACAGGCATTTAGTTGTGATGGATCGACCCTCAGAGTTTTCTCAAAAACATGTGCTGATTTGGATCAGAAACAAATTACAGAGTCTGAGGCAGAGACGAGGATAATAGTGATGCTGGTGGTGCTGATGGCGGTGATGATGGTGATGACCGCAAGGATAAGGATCAGAATCAGAATCAGGATGAGGATCAGGATCATGATGATCATGATGATCATGATGATCATGATGATCATGATGATCATGATGATCATGATGATCATGATGATCATGATGATCATAACATGATGATGATGATGTTGTTGTTGATGATGATGATGGTGAGGACGAGGACGAGGACGAGAAGGTGGAGGTGGAGGTGGAGATGGAGGTGGAGGAGGATGAGGATGAGGCATAATAAAAATCAGTCGCTACCTTTCGTGACAATACTATCAATAATCGTTGTATCGATTTTACGCATACCACGCGTCCTCCTGGAGGAATGAATTATTTTGGACCTGATTTCAAGATGTTCCAAGGTGTCAAGAAAGAGACCACAGCATGGTCCAATGGTCGTGTTCGTCGGGTCCCAGCTCTGGATCACAAATTCTTTACGTCAATTGGGCCCATTTGTTTCGACATGTTTTCCCAAAAAGACACATATTGTTGGGGGATTCCAGCCTCACGGGGGCGCGATCCAAGGCACTTCGAGTAGCTTGAGCAGCCTGGCTGGAGCTGACAGCAAGCTGAATGATGATGAAACTTGGGGGGAATGGTGCAGCAATGATTGCACACCATCATGCATCATTATGAATCATTATGAATCGTTAATCATCGTTATACATCACGACTCAATAAAATCATATGAAATATTATGGATGGTTTAGATTTAGATCCATTTGGCATCTTCACTGGCAGCTCAAAAGTATCCAAGAGCCATCCAAATGCAGGTGTTGAAGGCATGGTGATCTTTCTGTTGCCAAATTCGTGGGTTGGATCCCTCGATGTTTTCCAAACTCTCCGAATCCAGAACACAACACTTGCATTAACCAACGCTCTTGAGGGCCAAACTAAAAATCTAGTCTATATGCATTAATATAGAATATTATAGAATTATGTAGATACATACAGTTACATACGTTATATCATACGTCTTTAAAAAAAACTTCCTGGAAACCAGCTATGACATGCTATGACCATCATCTTTCTGGATCAACCATCCGGACCCTTCGACCCTTCAGCTGCAGGTGAGAGACCCATGAAGAAGGCATAGTACAGGACACTGAGCACATGATGGGTGACCCCCAGGGCCCCAGGGCGGGTTCCGCTGTGTTGGGCCATGGTATGCCATGGTTGGCCGCCAGTTGGCTCGCCCTTTTATGGCGAAAGTTGGGAAGTACACGTAGTTGTATCACATTGCAAATCTTTCATGCCACAATATGCCACATATACTGCTCTCTAAAAACAGCCGACTCAGCTGCATCAATTGATCTATCCAAAAAACGTAAAATCAAACAATCAAGCTATCAAACACCTTTCTAATTTCAGCACTCATCCCAGCCAGCAGTCCAGCACCGGTTGCCCGAAACCTCCCCATGACCTCTAAAAGCTCGTGACAAACAAGTGAAGTATTTTTCATGGATCAAGCCATTGGCATCCATTGGCTACCAAGGATTTCGAAATGGAACAATGTCAGTCACTTTTTGCTGGTTCTAGTTTCGATTCATCTTCCAAGCTCCCGCTGACCTCCGCATCTTCGGGGTCTGGGAAGTCTGGGTCGCCCCACTTCAGGAGGTCGCTAACCCCCCAGCCGTAAACGAAGGCCAAGGCGTGGGTCAAGGTATCTCCCAGATTATTCGCCACCAGTTCCTGAACCAATCAACGCAGCCCGTGGGAGAAGATGGGAACCACGAAAAGCACAGTTTCAGAGGGCTAAATGAGAAGGATTGAACGCTATATTTCTGCAAGAACTTCGAATTCCTCAAACAATTCTCTGGCCCAGACTGCACACTATGCATGATGCAATACATATATATATATAGTATTATATATATATACATCTCGTTCTCTCTCTCTCTCTCTCTCTCTCTGTCTCTCTCTCTCCCTCCATCGCCATCTCCGTGATGCAATATACATATATGCAATAAACTTATACATGCGTGCATCTGTACATCTATGCACGAACATGAGTAATTACATACATGACCGCATACGATTGGGAAGGCGTTGTTCCCACAACAAAACTATTATAGACACATGGCCCCATCTTGCAAAACAGAAAACACACACACATATATATATGTATATATATATATATTATATAGTTGAAACGTATTCAAACTAAAAGTGATGTACAAATTTGAACAACCCATCAGCAAGAACATCAACACGTAAACTCACTAACGAAGTCCTGTTGCCACATTTCCATGCGTGTCCCAGCTTTCTCAGCCAAGCGGCCACTTCAAAGCGGCGAATTTCAATATCCGTGACATCTGTCAGATCTTGCTCCCTTAGCCACGGCTGTCCCTCCAAAAATTTTAGGGTTCATCATCATTTTCCTCACCAAATTGATGAATTAAAATCAAAAAACAACATTTTATGGTGCTTGGCGCCAGTACCACCCATTTTACTCCCCGGACCAACTCAAACATCCAAAACCAACTGGTGCCCTGAAGGGCCTGACCTTCTACATGTGCCGCACGGCTGGACCTCAGCCCTGCCAAGTTTCTCCCAGAGTTCTTGTTCTCGCTTCTTCAAATGGTAATATGCATCTAACCTCAGTGTGATTCGTGGCGGGTTAGCACTGTCGTCCACCTTTTTGAAATAGCCTGCGAAAAAAACAGCCAGAAAAAACAATCACAGGACCACCGTCAACAAAACCACACTAAGAGATTATCATGTGGTTGGGAAATTCTTAGCTCCTTTTCTCTTCTATTTATTCCCCAACCGCCCCCGGTTGTGCCATGTACCCTGCCTCAAAACGCAAATGGACATGATGCCGAAGTAGGTGAGCTGGAACACCAACTGCGGCGGGAAATTGTGGGAAACTATATAATTTTATATAATGTTTCCTGACCCCCAAATCTAGTTGTTCTGCAAATAAATGGTCATAAAATCATATAAAATCATGGTTTCGTTACCCCCAAATCTAGAGGTTCCCTTCAACCTGGGACTGAAGCAACCATGGGGTCCACCATGGTTCACCTGCAAGACAGATCGGGCAGCCACAGGCAAATCTGGCCTTGGTGACAAGCTGTGAGGGACCAGGGTGTCAAAAAAACCTGGCCGAAAAGAAATCACAAACAGCTCTACATAGTTGATATTTGTTCTTTTTCTTCTTCTTCTTCTTCTTCTTCTTCTTCTTCTCTCTCTCTCTCTGTGCTAGCATAGGTAAGCTAGAAACATGTTGAAGCGCAACTGCATGATCTTTTCTTTAAATCGAGGATTGAGCTTATATAGGACCATATAAAACGTATTTACCTCCAATGTCAAAATGTCACGCAAAAATTCCAGCGCCCCCGTAAAAAAAATTAGCCCGGTGGCCATGCATATTCGTTCAACCTCTTCACCAGAAAGGATGCCTCAGTGGCTGCTGGATGGGCATCATGCAAAATCTAAGAAATCACAAAATGTTTGATATCCATTGATATCTAATGTAGACGTATCCAAGTAGTCAATATGGTATCCCAAAAATCAGATCTAACATTTCCTGATCTGGAATATCCAACTCAAAGTTTCACCGCTTCACCATCCCAAAAACCCTCATCTTCCAATGCCCAGCTGCCACTGCATTGATGCACCATCCAACTCCCAACATCATGTTGTACGGCAATGCCCTGAGCGTCATGGCAAGGGGCCCACGTGGCCCTGGTGGCCCTGGTGGCCCAGGTACCTGGTGACTGTAGTCCAAAAAAAATGTCGACACTTTTATTTCATCAATATTATACCAGTGCAATCAGTACAAGGATAATTATGACAACGAATTCTGATATCATTCCTTATCTTTTCTTTGGGGGTGTTCTATGTATTTGCTACGCATTTCACGCAATCTTCATGTCATTGCAGTCAGTGCATTCAGCATCAAATCATATCGAACCCAAGGCACAAGTAACGGTTCTTCAGGGTGTTCCGGCCTGGTGAGTTGGATCTTCAAATGCCTAAAAGGACCCTTTCCTATGACCAAGGACGGCATGCCACAAACATAATTGCTTCATGGCCAATCATAGGTGTTCTACATCCCTATATTGTCCCACATTCATATCACAAAATCACCCGGACTTGGCATACCTTTACACAGAGACATGCAGAGACCCAAATTACCCTCTGGTAATTTAACGTAGCTATTGAAAATGGCCATTAATAGTGGATTTTCCCATTAAAAATGGTGATTTTCCATGGCTATGTTAGTTTACCAGAGGGTACCATAATAGCGCAAGTAGGACAAATAGTGACCCAACGGGCATCGGGGGTCTTTTCCTTCCGTTTCATCGGTCCCGTCCCATGGTATGTTCGGTCAACGCCCATGGTATGTTCATGAACCGCCCCCCCCCCCACCAAAAAAAAAACAGCCACACACAGCTACAGTATCATGTGTGTTTTGGCCTTGAGTCAATTCGTTCATGCCATTTCTCTCTCCCTCTCTCTCTCTCTCTCTCTCTCTCTCGCTCTGTCGCCATCCCTACGGCTCAGCTAGGGCTGCGGGATGTTATTTCAACCTTGTTTTTTAAGATCATTGGGACTTCCAAAGGCAGAAACAGAATAAAAAACAAAAATGGTACCGTGTCACGAAATGGGATCTGCAACGGAACTTCAACTTCGCCACTTGCTGCCGGAGGGGCCATTTGCAAGAGCACTCTTTGCATCCGCGATAGGCTTGTAATGCGTCAATGCACACACTACCACAATCTTGGCAGCGCAGCGCTGGGGTGGTTCCAATGAAGGCCTGGTGTTAGTGAGTTTGTTTGTTTTCTGGCTTGTTTGTTTCCTTACTTGTATGTGTGTGTGCGTCACTCTTGTGATTGAAGACCACATCAAAAGGGAAGATGCGAATGAGCTTCAGTGGAGGAACCAATCCTGTCAATGGCTTCACTAATCAGAGATTTTGGGAGATTGGACCCACGAGATTTTCATGAGATCATTGGAAATACACCCATTGGCCCACATCTACTGCCTCGGGGATTCAATGTCCCATAGAACAATATCGTGTCCGGGATCCATTCGCCACATGCACAATGCCACTGGCCATAATTCGCTTGGGCGACCCATTCTCCAGGTTGGAACCTTTCCATACACCATCCTTTAAAGAGTACAGTAGTGAAATCCCACCTGAAGTGAAGGAATCCAGAAATAACTAATGTCTGATCTATGTGTTTTTCTGACGCCTAAATATTGGTTTCAATCTGGGTCTGAAATATTTCTGGATCCCTACCTGATGACTTGGATGCACCCTGCAATGTGATATCACGATCGTGTTTTCTTGCTGCGTTGCAGTGTTTAAAAATGTGGAAAACTGTTTTTTTCTCACAAGTGTTTTTTCACAAAAATCAGTTGTTTAGAATTGGTTCAGGAATTGGTATTTACAGGGAACTGGCCTTGCCAAAATGTGGCAAAAGTGACGTTTTTTCTCCAAACTCATACTGTATTTTTAAAACGCCTGCATATTTTTTGAGACAAAATCAGAAGCATTTTTTTTCAGAATTTCCCTGGTATTTACAGAGAATTGTTGACTTTAAGGCTGCGCTGCTTCCCAAGATTTCCAGGGAAAGAGCAATGTTACCAATTGTTCATCGTTTTTGTCCACCTTTTCCTTGCCAAAATGTGGGTAAAAATTATGTGTGTCTCCAAAGTCAAATGTTTGTTATTTTTTTTCTCAGACCAGTTTTTTTTTTCAGAATAAAAACATGTTTTTTCGGAAATTCATTAGTATTTCCAAGGATTTGTTGATTTCAGTCAAGGCTGCTGGGGCTGCTTCCCAAGATTTCTAGGGAAAAACGAGTTTGCCAATTTTGTAACTGTTTCCTCAAAAGTAACGTTTTTCTCCAAAATCAGAAAATGCTCGGAAACTGTTCAAGAATGTTCAACATATATATATATATATATTCAGATTCAGGTGTTTCTCGGATTTTTTCATAGTTGGTTCAGATTCTTTTCAGATTTGTTTCATATTCTTTTCATAGGCGCTGTTTTGAATCAGAAATAATCCATAAACAAATCAGAAAAAAAAACATATGTCCAGGATTTTGGCCCCTATGATGGCTGAGGATGGTTCTTACTACAGCCGAGCAACCAAGACGATGCTTGTCAGGATTTCATCCCACAGGACCTGCACAAGCTGAGATACATCGGATGCAGGGGAATGGCACGACAGCCACATGCCGCCCCATGCCGCCCCATGCCTGGTCAGTCCAGGATAAGAATTGTTGGACCACATCCTAAGTTGGGACAGTTGTGGCACGCTGGGAGCTTGGAGAGTCGAGTCTCATGGCCTACCTCAAGAGGCCCTGGGATGCTTAGGCTTTCGAGAAAGAAACATTCAAGTTGGAACAACGGACGGATTGAATCTTCGGTTCCTATTCCCAAGTTTGAAAAATGGGAAAGTCATTGGGGACCATCCCATGACAAATGGACGATGGAATCAAGCGAACAAATCATGACAGATCCGACGTGATCCAAACAGTTCATGGATGTTCACGGGACCTGGCACACCTCAACAATATGTTGTGACAGCTGCTGCAACTGAGCAACTTTGAAGGACCAAGCCAGAACCATGGGGAAAGCTTTGGCCTGGTGGCACGCGGCATCCACTATGTGCCCAAAGATCCACCAAACCAGCTAGTTTCTGTATCAAGAATCTTCAGTACCACGGTGTGCCCACGATGAAACCACAATTTCAAAAGGATGCCACCAGGTATTCTGATGAAGACCAACGTGTGGTTTCTTTTTGACTCTTTTGAATCATTGGATTTTGTTTAGATCTGTTTAGTAAAGCGACTCTTCATGCGACCCCAACTGACATAAAACATGTGATTTACCTGCCCAGCATTGTTGCGCGGCTCGCCGCTTTGCACTCTTTTGTCACATCAGGGAGCAGTCTGCTGAGCCTTGGGAATTTGCTGTACAGCCATAATGCCAAGGTTGCCATGGGCGGCCGCATACCCAACACCAGTGCATGGCGCACTGTGTACAGGTCATGTGATTGCAACCCATTGAGCGCAAGGTCCGTACTCCACAGCCAGGGCATTCCTGGCACCGCATTGCACCACTGGAGACACACAATCGATTTGTGATGTTTTGGATATTGGGATCTAGTGTGTGTGTGTGTGTTTGTGTGTGTGTGCGTTTGTCACGTATACATATATATATATGTACACTGTGAATTGAACTCGTTTCCAGCACTTGTAACACTGGATACTCCACATCCTACAACTTGGTTTCATGCACCATCCATGGCCGGATTCCTAAAGGCATTTGGCTCTGTGAAGCCTGGTGATGTGGTGGGCGGGATCTTAGCCTTGGCCATAGGCACTTTCGGACGGCGCAGGGATCGCCGATTTGTTGGTGGAAAAACGCGTGGCCGCGTTGGAGCTGAGGCAGCTGATTGAGGTGTTTTTGGAAAGGGGGCCCGCTATCCAATCACATTGGTAGCGGAGCCCCCGGCGTTTTTGGACATTGAAAGCCGGGGGCATCCTGGGAAACTTTGGGTTTGGCTGGTTTCTACGTTGATTGTTTTTGGAATTGGAGGTAAAGCTTGAGGCCAAGCATGTCAGGTGAGAGCACCGAGACAGCCGGAACAGTTCCAAGTCAATTAGCATACCTGGTTCCCACGTTTGACCCTAGCAAAGATGATGTACAGATATATGCCCAGAAAGTACAGATGATCCTGTCAGTCTGGCCAGCAACGAAAGTATCCGAGCTCATCACGCGGCTCATCCTGAACACAAGCGGAACGGCATTTTCCAAACTGCAATTGCATCACTCCGAATTGTGCACCAATGATTCCAAGAATGTTGAGAGAATCATAGAGATCCTCGGTGGTCATTGGGGACGTACGGGATTGGAAAAGAGGTACACAGATGCTGAAAAGGCCATGTATCAGTGTGTGCAACAGACTGATGAATCTCATGATTCGTACCTGGCTCGTGCAGACGTACTCTGGACCAAACTGTTGACCCAGAAGCTCAAGATGGAGGACTTGCAAGCCTATGTAACTCTCAGGGGTTCGTTACTCACCAATGATGACAAGAAACGGGTCATTTTGGAAAGCGATGCTTCTCTGGAAGGTAAACTGACGATGACAAAGGTCAGGGACTCGGATGTTGGGGACTTCGTTTTTTCATGAGATGACTGGACAAGGCAAAAAGGTGATGAAGAACAAGGTATATGACCAGGTGAATGTGACCCTGGACTCAGCTGATTCAATTGGTGAAAACGATGAACCCACACACCTAGCTGGACATGAAGAATGGAATGAAGATGATTTTACAGAAGCCTTAGCACTCGAGGGCGATGATGATGCCATAATGATCCTTGACTTCGAATCGGCAGCAGCTGAGGTGATTCAGAATGACGAGGAACTGGCATCAGCCTATTCATCGTACGTCGAGGCCCGGAAGAAGCTTGGAGAAAAGTTTCGCGCCAGGGGCTTCTGGCCAATCTCAGCTGGGAAGGGTAAAGGAAAGAATGTCAAAGGTAAGTTCAAAACCAAAGTCTCATGGGGACGAAAGACATTGCAACAGAGAATCATGGAAAGTAATTGCAGGATTTGTGGTCGTAAAGGTCACTGGAAATCCGAGTGTCCGCAGAGAAGCCAGTCCTCAACCACAAATGCAGCCGCTGCTCCAGTCACCCTGTCTCTTGGGACAGATCAGCAAGTTGATGAAGTGATGCCAATGGAGTTTCTGCTTTTGCCGGAAATGCCGAATCCCAACAATCAGGACAGCCGTCACTCAAAGGGTTTCAGTTTTGTACAGACAGTTTTTTCGAATGCAGCCACAAGCCAACATGCACTCAATACTAATCATGGGGATAAGGTAACCAGGGATAGAATTAGAGCCTATATTTTGGGAAATAAGGGTAATAATTCAAGGGTTGCCAGCCTTGTGAGCAGGATTGAGTCCAAGCTGAAAAAGCCTGTGCCGCCGAATCATTTCTCCCTGAGAGAGCCTGCGTATCCATCCAATGCATCCGAAGCCCAATCCAAGGTGGTTGGACCGTGCCGTGCATCCGAAAATCCGAACTCAACAGAAGTTCCTTCCCGAGACCGTGGCATGCGCCAAGTTGCAAACAGCGCTCCACAAGAACAAGTGGCAGATGCGATGTTTTCTACACATGACACATGGGGCATCATAGACACTGGGGCAACAAAGACCGTAATTGGTAGTGAACATGTTGGTCAGTTTTTGCAAAGTCTAGATGCCAAGGTCCGAGATCAAGTCAAGCGATGTGCGTGCGAAGTGACGTTCAGGTTTGGCAATCAAGGGACTTTAAAGTCCAAGCATGCCCTTGTTGTGCCTGTTTGCGGATTAGGCCTGAAGATAGCCATCGTTCCGGGAACCACTCCATTTTTGTTGTCCAACACTCTATTTCGTGCACTCGAAGCCATGATCGATACAGCCAACCACCAAATCATACTCCCCAAACATGATGTTACAATTCCACTTCAACTTACATCCAAAGGTTTATACTTGATTGACATCAACAAACTCACTCAGGTGGTGCCGAAGGATGGAGAGAGTTTCCGATTTGCAGAGACTTTTGCACATGACAGTGAGAAAATGCATGTCAAAACAGAGATGCCCGCCACACATGAGGACATGACATGCATGAAGGCAGAAGGTAACATGTCAAAGGTCAACCATGAAGAAAGTTTGAAGTGTGAACCGAAAGCAGTGCCAGTTTCACCAGCATCCTTCTCACCACCGTGCCACAGTTTCAAACACCAGTCCAAAACATCAGAAGCCAGTCGACAGTCTCAGAGTAGCTCACCGACCGATCTGAGTTGTGAATCGCCCGTGACTCATGAGCGATTTGTTCTCCGAACGACTCCAGCGTATCCAAGCCAGCATGTTGCAAGAAGCTCCCCAACAAGAAGTGCCTCAGGTGTCACTGGAGGAGCTCAAGCAAGAGAAGATGACGTTTGGAAAGACGCATGTGGGTCGCACCTACGAGGAAATCTGGACGGGATACCCGGAGTGGATTCGTTGGTTTTACCAGCACTATCGTCAGAGCAACAAAGCAGCTCACCGACGTGTGATTCTGTACATCGAAAAGAAGGTGGAGGAAATGGAAGGCTTGGGAGCCCAGCCGACAATGACACCAAGCTCCCAGGCACCAGTGGCTCCGAAAAGCTTTGCAGCACCCAAGGTGATGCCATTGCAGGCCAAAGCCAAAGCGGGTCCCTCGCCATCGATGAACACCAATCCACTTGCCATGGAAGAGCCCGGAAACCCATGGCCAGCATCCGAAGATTCCATGATGATCCATGGACTTCAACAACGTGTGCTGAACATGGAGAATGTGCTCCAACAGCTGTTGAACCACATTGCACCTCCTCAGGCAGCATCAATGCCACCATCGACGGCCGCCAACCAAGCAATTCCGTCAGTGTGGGACTTGGACGAGGAGGAGATCCTGACTGCATGGGATCAATGAACTCGGAGTGCAACTTGGTTCAAAGGGCCGGAGAGATTGATGAATTTTGTGAATCCATACCAAATCATGAACGTCAGAAGTTTTGGAGACTGGTTAACCAGTATGAAAAAGAGTTGTCCGAGCTGTTTCAAGTACACAAACCTATGGGTCGTGCCATTGATCTCCTCGAAGTTTTCTGCAGTGAGAACAGCAACTTGACAAACCAGGTGAATCAATTGCAGGGTCGTGCCATGCGTTTTGGTTTGAACCAAGGAGACTTGCAAAGCAGTGAGGGTCGCAAAGCACTCATGATCATGGTTTGTAGACATTGCCCAAGACATATCTGGTTGAGTCCAAAGTGTGGTCCATGGTCCAACTGGTCAAAATTCAATAGTGGACGTTCACTTCAACTGTGGGATCGTATTCATGCAGAACGATTGGAGATGCTCAGCCAGGTAGCCTTGTGTCTTGTCTTGTGCCGACATCAGGTGCGAATGTCACGACATGTGCACTGGGAACAACCCAAGGGATCCCTCATGCTAAAGTTGCCATATCTCCAAGAACTTTCGAGATATACCAAGTGTGCCAACCCAGACATGTGCAAGGCAGGAGACCTTAAAGATCCCAACAACATGAAGTTCATGAAAAAGGGCCTCAATATTATGACCACGTCCCCATCCATGTACCAAGCACTGGATCCATTAAGATGTGACCGAACCCATGATCACCAGCTCATCGAGGGTTCAACCATAGCACATGGACAGACAGTGGCACGATCGGCCTTTTCCGAGCTGTATCCGAGAAAGTTTGCCAGACTGGTCGCCAAGATCATCCTGAAGTCAATGTTTCCCACAGAAAAACCAGTTGGAACTGTGCATGATCCAGTACTGAGCATTGTTGATCAAATCCTGGCTCATGATGATCGACTTGCCAAGCGTCCCAAGCTTGGGACGTTGCGTTCTCCAAAGTCCAAGACTGCTGACAGATCACTCGACCAGGGTGGAGAGAACAAACGTCGCCGGATAGCCATGCCACCAAGTCCTATTGAGATAAAGCCCTCACAGACTGAGATTCACAATAAGACTTTGAATATCATACAAGTAATCGAATCAAAACTTCCTCGGGTAGGAAAGAAGGTATTTGATGATGAAGAAACAATCAAGATGGTTCAAGAAGTTTTTCCTGAGAAAACTGTGAAGATTGTCGTAGCGTGCAAAGGAACTGAAAGAACCATGGGACCCCCAAAGCAATTGCATGCCCGTGAAGCACCATTTCGAAGAGCCATCATGAAAGCTCGTGCTGACCATCGAATTCTCATGGATCCAATTTGGGAACGACATGACACCTTGGCCCAAAGACAGATTATCAGAAAATCTCATCCCTGCCGAGTGAATATAACTGTTTTTGCAGCCGATGTTATTTCCACCGAAGTTCCAGTGGGAGCCAAGGAAGTTCCCAGCGTTGCAGCCAGCCCAGAATCAGCACCGTCAATGCCGCCTGCCGCAGTAGCTTCCGTTCCGCCTGACCATAGCCCTGCCGAACCAACTGAAGTTGACACAACCAACAGAATTCCAGAACTGACGGAAGACAAATCTGGTGGAGAAAAGGCAGGACTTGTGGATCCAGGACAGCCAGTAGACGACATGCCAGAATCAGCAGAAATGCCCATCAATGGTCAACATGGACCACGGTTTCTTGCACTGCCAAGGGAAGAACAGGTAATGTTAAAAAGAGCTCATCAGAATTTATGCCACCCAAGCCATGACAAGTTGAGCGCAGTGTTGAAAGCCCAGGGCGCCAGACCGGAATTGTCGCAAGCCGTTTTTGACATGTCATGTCAAACTTGTGCAGCCGCCCAGAAACCAAAGATTGCCAGGCCAAGTACCATAAAGCATGAACTTGATTTCAATGATAAGATCTTCATTGATGGTATCACGTGGACAAACAAGAATGGGAAATCATTTCATTTCTATCATGTGCTTGATCAGGCAACCAACTTTCATGTAGCGGCACCAGCCCCAAGCAGAGCTGCAGAAGATGCCATCCGATGTCTCACAGAAATATGGTTGCAGTGGGCTGGACCTCCAAATTCACTTGTAACAGACTCAGCAACAGAGTTCACAAGCGAACAGTTTGCAGGTTTTTTACAACGCCATGACATCCAGGCCACAACGACTGCACCATATGCGCACTGGCAGAATGGACGTTGCGAGAGACACGGACAGATTCTCCAAAGCATGTTGGATAAGATAGACCGAGAATTTCCCATAAACTCTTATGATGATTTGCAGTAGGCATTGGTACAAAGTACTCATGCAAAAAACGCACTAAGCATCCGAAAAGGGTTCTCACCTGAGGTATTGGTTTTTGGAAAGAGTTCCAGGTTGCCAGGCTCTTTGACCAGCAGCGAAAGAGAATCAGCCCTGGAAAGTGCAGACAGAGATGATGCACACGGCATCCATTTCCGCAGAAGCTTGGCCCTCAGAGAAAGAGCCCGTACGGCTTTTCATCAAGCGGATAATGACATGGCTTTAAGAAGGGCTTGCCTTCGTAGGTCTAGACCCAGCAGAAACATGTACTCACCCGGAGAATGGGTCATGATGTGGCAACCCACACCACAAGGTGGACACTGGTTCGGGCCCCTGAAAATCGTGAATCAAGAAAATGAACATTCCATTTGGGGAACACATGGGGGTAAACTTCATAGAAGGGCGCCAGAACATGTAAGACCAGTATGCTCCCAAGAAGCCATGCAGATACCTCAAAATGCATCAAACATCAGTATCACACCTGAAGCTCACACCGAATCGAGAAACCCAGATGAATCCGAAGTCATCCCACAAGAAAATAATCCTGAAAATTCCAATGAAGCTCATAATCCATCCTCAGATAATCACAGTCAATCCCAAGATCAACCTGACAATGAACCAGAAGCAGTAACCCCACCAGAATCTACTCAAGGGATAGAGGTAGACCCCGCAATAGAGACACCAATCCCTGAAAGTCCCACTGATGATGACTTAGTGACCACCCATCTACTCTGCAGTGACGTTGATGAAATAACGATAGATCCAGTGGTAACTCCATGTGCATGGAGAATCGAACTAGAAACGCCAAGCCATCTCCAGCGGGAGAACACTGCCACTTGGACAGACGATGAAATCCTTCTTGCAACAGCAGAGAAAAGACAACGCACGGAAGTGAAACTTTCGATGCTGACCTCGGAAGAAAAGCGTGCCTTTGAGGCAGCCAAAGACAATGAAATCAAAAACTGGCTTAAAACAGGCACAGTTTCCAGAGTGTTGAGATCCCAGCTAGCTCCAGAACAAATCCTGCGTTGCAGATGGATCCTCGTATGGAAACCACTTGAGGAGAATAACACGGATGTTCCTACCACATCAAAGCTTGCCACGCATAAACCGAAAGCCAGATTGGTAGTCCTTGGATACCTTGACCCCAATTTAACTGAAGTACCAAGGGATAGCCCTACTCTAGGAAGACAGTCGAAGATGATCCTATTGCAACTTGTTGCTTCATTAGGATGGAGTTTGGGCTCCTTTGACATTCGTGCTGCTTTCCTTCAAGGCAAACCACAGAAGGACAGAGTCATTGGACTGGAGCCAGTTCCTGAGCTGTCAAAAGCCATGCAACTCCAACCAGATGAAGTGTGTCGTTTAGATAAATCCGCATACGGTCTCATAGATGCACCATTCCTTTGGTTTCAAACTCTTCAAGAGGAACTATTGAAACTAGGATTTGTTGCCAGTCCGTTTGACCCATGCATGTTTATCCTTCGCCATCCAAAAACCCAGAAACTCAGTGGTGTCCTTGGAGTTCATGTTGATGACGGAATCCATGGGGGTGATGATTATTTCCATGAACAGATCTCAAAACTAGAAGCCAAATACCCATTTGGATCAAAAAAATCACGCCATTTTACTTTCACTGGAATTGACTTTCATCAAAACACTGACAACAGCATCGAACTATCCCAATCGAAGTATGTGAAGAACATCAGCCCCATCACTCTGAAGCCTGAAAGACGAGCCCAAGAAAATGCACCAGTGACGGAAGCCGAACGACACTTGCTTCGTGGCTTAATTGGATCGCTCCAATATGCAGCTGTGCATACCAGACCTGACCTGAACAGTTCCCTGAGTCATTTACAATCCAACATCAATAATGCCACTGTATCCACCTTAATTGCAGCCAATAAAGCACTTCATATTGCCAAGAAACACCATGAAGTAACCATCAAAATAAATCCCATGGCACCTGAAGATTTAAGATTTGTAGCATTCTCCGACGCATCACTTGCTTCCAAATCAAAACCCGAATCTCATTCTGGTATGATAATCCTCGCCACCCATAAAGATATTTCCCAGAACAAAGCCTGTGTCATCAGTCCGCTATCGTGGGGCACGAAAAAGATCCAACGAGTAGTGACAAGCACACTATCCGCCGAGACTACCGCCCTATCATCAGCCTTAGATCAATTGACATGGATCAGACTTTACTGGGCATGGATTCAAAAACCAGACATCAAGTGGCAAAAACCTGAAACCATCAATGACTTACCTGAAGCTATTTCCATTCCAACTTTCAAAATAACAGAAAATGACTTAGCAATTACTGACTGCAAAAGCCTCTACGACCTCACCACCCGTACCGCAGCACCAAATTGCCAAGAATTTCGAACACAATTGCAGGCACGAGCCATCAAAGACATTTTGTCAGAGGGAATACAGTTGCATTGGGTACATTCCGGCGCTCAACTTGCGGATGCACTTACGAAAGTAATGGAATCAACCTTTTTGAGAGAAACTCTCAAACAAGGAAAGTATTGTTTACACGATGAACATGAAGTCCTCAAAAACAGAGCATCAGCAAGGAACAGATTGAAATGGCTGAAATCCTCCTCAGATGAAACGAGTTCTCCATGAAAAAAAAATGTATTTTTGGGAATGTGAATTGAACTCGTTTCCAGCACTTGTAACACTGGATACTCCACATCCTACAACTTGGTTTCATGCACCATCCATGGCCGGATTCCTAAAGGCATTTGGCTCTGTGAAGCCTGGTGATGTGGTGGGCGGGATCTTAGCCTTGGCCATAGGCACTTTCGGACGGCGCAGGGATCGCCGATTTGTTGGTGGAAAAACGTGTGGCCGCGTTGGAGCTGAGGCAGCTGATCGAGGTGTTTTTGGAAAGGGGGCCCGCTATCCAATCACAGTACACACATACACATATACATACATACCTTATACTTATATATATATTTATGCATGTCTGTATGTGTGTATCCCTCTCCTCTCTTTCCCTCTCTCTCTCTCTCTCTCTCTCTCTGTCTCGCTCTCTAGGTATATTTTTGAGATTTTTGAGCCACATCCATGACACTCCATTGACCGCAAGGGCTTGCGGCCGACCTCGCCTTGGCTCCTGCCCAATGTCTCTCTTTACTTCTCAGGGTCGAAGGCAATGTGGCATCGAATTCTAAACAGGACTTGCCTCAGCAATGGGCAGGAAGGCGGTCAGCATGATACAACCTGCCTAATTGTCGATTGTCTATTGCTTATATCATGTTATATGAGTTTATAAAATACAAACGGGATCCAATGGGCAGGACAACTGTGGAGCAACTTCTTTTTCAATATTCTGACTGAGTGGTTTCTGCACCAAGTATTATTTTGCGTGTGCCGACTTCTCTTAAAAGCAACACAAGATCGGCCTGGCCAGCTCGTGTTACATCAAAAATCTGTTGGATGCTTTGCTAACCTTTGCTACCTGTGTTTGCAAGCCATTCCCCGCAAACAAAACGTGAATTGGATTGGCCCCCAAAAAAACATTCACCAGCCTAGGGCAGCCTGAAACGGCCAAAGTGCCAGCATGATGGTGGCCTGATACTTCCCATGGCTGACTGCATAAAAGGCAATAAGCCACTTCGCAACTTGGACAATGAACGCATCGCAAATCTTCCTCGGAACCGGCGCGAGAATGTGCTCTTTTGGATGCAAGGATGGTAGGAGGTTATCTTTTATCCAACCCGATGATAGGAAGGCATCAATTGCTCATCCTTCTGCGGAGCCTCCAGCCTGGTCTGACAACCCAACACTTGACATCGACATTGAATGACATCTTGAGATTGCCAGCGTCTTGGCATGTTTCGGCGGCCTGTCAGGGAACTAGGGTGAGAGTGGAAAATCATCGCGCATTCTCATGAATCATAATTGTTCCATCGCAAAACCATCTGAAGATTGACTCACATCCTGGATCCTCTAGGGCTGAAGTACTTGGAGGTGCAGTTCCACTACCAGGTGGGTGTTGTGACCAAAGTATACCATAGCTGTAGGTGCTACATTCCAACTTATGGGCTTACTGGAGGTTACTATCATGTTATGATGGTTCTACCCATTTTCTGTCGACCACTGCACCCCTCAATAAAATGGGTCCAAATCAACCAAGTGTCACCGCCCTCAGAGGGTGCCACATAGAAACCCATGTGTCGTCCAAAGCTCCATGATCGTGGATCCCAGCAACTCCCAGGCTCCTGGATCGAGAAAATACGGGGGAACTTATTGAAATCCTATGGACAAGCCCGGGTGACACTGTGCATACATGGAGAACTGGATCAACTGGCCTTTTCTTGGGCCATAGTTTTTGTATGTTTTTGTTGGACCTTTTCCAAAGTTGCTGGGGTGATTTGCCAATTGGAATCCCATTGGAATCACCAGAAGTCGGTCAGCAGGTCCCCGCTCCTGTGAGGCCTTTGAACGACGCAGCTGCTTTGGCAGCAGCCACATGTGATCGCAGTCGCTTCCCGGACAATGCACCACCTGCCACTGTTTTGGGGCACCGTTAAAGCGATGCTGCAGGGCTTCTACCATGGAAAAATGGCTATAACCAGGTCAATACACACACATGTATATATATATACATTATATTACACACACACACATATATATATATGCGTGTGTGTGTGTGCTTATTTATTTATCTATCTATTTATTAATTTATATATCTTTATCTATTTATTTCTCCCTCTAGCGCCATCTCTAATATGTATCTATTTATACGTATACTTTTTTTATTTCTTTTGAAACATATTTTTCTACGTATTTATTTGCTATTTGTTTTTACTACATGCGCAGAAAAGTCCCATAATTATAATTAACATGAATCAACCATATTCTAGGTGATGAACATCCTTTTGAAGTTTGCCAAGTGAAGGGCTTCTCACCTATTCGGATTCCAACTGGAAGCTACTTGTCATCCAAAAACATCCAACTGGGTGCACAGTGCACAAAACGATCCTGCAAATGGTAGTAAAAAGAGTTGTTGCAGTAAACAGTGTGGTTAAAAACGCATCAAAACCCTGAAAAGAAACAACTATAATAGCATTAGTAGCACATACAAGTATCACATGGTAGCATTACCCCAGGTCATCAGTAACCGTCGGTATACCATCGGTCTGCGAAGACACGTCTTCCATCCGCGCTGCGCAGGTGTTGGCCAATCCGCTCGAGAGACACCAACGTTCCTTGGCGAAGCTGGTGAGGTATCCATGCGGGTGCCCCCATGGCGTCCCAACTCAGCAAACCCAGCCATCAAGCCACCAACAAACCCCACCAAGTCAACAAAATAACATCCACCAACAAACCCCACCAAGTCAACAAAATCTGTCCATGAACCAAGGTGGCTTGCATCCCAACTCCATACTGTTCCCAGCATTGTTGAGGTATGTTGAGGTTATATCCAACTGATAGATGATGGGAGTAATGACCATGGTGTCATCATAGCCTTTTCTGCACCTCCGAAGCCTGCCCTTTCTGGCGAAGCAAGGAACGTAAGCCCTGCACTTTCGCCTAGTCTTCTGTCCCAGCAAATCCAGGCCACGCCAAGACCATTGATGTCGACGGAAGGACTTATACACCATCACGTCAGGAATCAACACTTTGCCTCGGAGATCTGGCTCTTTGAAACTAATCCACCCCAAATAAGGATCAATGAGCTGATCTTGGGGAGATTCCTTCTCACAAACTATAATACATAAGAATCTATACAGTGACGTCGTACCTCGGGCGCACACAGTTCAAAAAATCTTGAAACACGACCATGTGCACTGCACACATGAATAGGGCACAAAATCATTGTGCATTTATCCTCCATTCAAAGCCAATAAAAAATGTCTGAAAGCAAATCATAGCCACAAAAGAGGGGACAATTCATGTCCGGCCGCGCATCATCAATAACGCTTTCTGCATGACGGCATAGGCACGCCCAACAAACACTTTGCTTGCAACAAGATAGAGTTGCCATTGTCCATGGATTGTCTTCAAATGTTTCGGTACAAATAGGACAGTCCTGGGCCATCAGGAAAATCCAGCCCTACATCTTCGGAAATATCATAAATCATAGAATCATATGCCGACTACTTTAATATGTATATACATATATATATATTGTTATATTGCATTGTTTATTGAATGTATTGAATACACAAAAAATGAATAGACCCTATGACATGCTAAACTATTAAATCAAAATGCATTTCTCTCTCTCTCTCTCTCTCTCTCTTCACCACCAAGAGGACATTACAGTGTGTTATCTTATTTTACATCACAGTACTGAATAGCACAAATACACACACACACGTAATATATATATATATGTGTGTGTGTGCATACATGTCATATCCGATTATCCTAAAAACTAGCCTGTCACCAAATGGTTGGTGCTTCCAAAAGTGTCGTGTGGATGCATCCAGCTGTGACACATGGCCCCCATCCATCACCAGTTCTTATTACAGGCTTTGAGCTAAATAGTTCGCAAAGTCCATTTCACCTTCAAACAAACACACAAACACACAACCACACAAATACCTTGTAATCAAACGGCATCAGTGGGATGTATCACCAGAAAATCCCAGCATGAAGCCTTGGTTCATCTCCTGCAGTTTTATTGCTTCAATTTCCCATTATCATTGTATGGTTCAATCTATGTGATGCTTCGGCTTCCCATTTTGCTTCAGAAAAGTACCTGGTTTGTTGATGGCATATCAGATCATCATAACGTGGGATGTGACCCATGACTGGAACCCAGTTCCCAGAAGGCGAGCCATCAAGTATCCGGTAATCAAACATAGTTGTGGACAATGGATGACAATGGCCCATTTATAGAAATAATTTAGAAACAATTTCTGTATACTAAAAAAAGTGATGTTCCACGAAGTGCTGGAGAAATGCTGCGCAGATAGCCGCAGTCCAAAATATCCCCACTATATCCCCACTATATCTGGTTGGTGTTTTCAACACCCTGAAAAATATGAAAGTCAGATTGGATCATCATCCCAACTATTGGGGAAAATAAAAAAATGTTCCAAACCACCAACCAGATATGTCATTGAAAATGGCCATTTATAGTGAGTTTTCCCATTAAACATGGTGGATCTTTCCATAGTTTTTTGTATGTTTATCAGGGGGCATATCCTCTTTGTAGATTAACTTATTCCCTGGATATTGCCAATTTTAGCAACTATATCCCCACTATATCCCCACTATATCACTATATGTATCCCTAGAAATGCTCTGTTCTAACCGGTTCCCTCAGTTCCAGGATCTACTGCTTGCCCTCGCGCGACACGCAGGCCGAAGGCGGAAAGGAGTTGCCTGGTGGATCGCCACGGGTTTTTCGACCCATTGATGAGGGTATCTTCACTAATAAGTAAGCCATAAAAAGTTAACAAGGATCATTATATACACTTATATATATATATATATTATACTTATATATATATATACACAAGCAATATTAACCAATTTTCAGAGGGTCTGATGTTTTTACCTGGCACTTTCTCTACTATACCTTAGTAGTTCTTTAACAAACACATATAGTTCCCTACGATGAATATCGGCTCCCACCTGGACCACCCCCACTGTTGAAGGAACTCCAGCCACTCCTGCGACAGATCCAATTTGTACAGTACTGGTTGGTAAGTGGATATCCTAAAAAAATGGAACGATCAAAAATTGGAACAACGATCAACAGAATGACTTGAAATCTTATGATATATATATATATAATATATATATATAATATCAGTTTGTGGGGCAAGATACTAAACGAAATCGAATGTACCCCGCTTCATTCCCTCAAGACTCTCCTGGCGCAGGGCCGCGCTATCAAGCAAACAACGCAAGTACATGGAAGCCGCCGCAACCTGGGGGTCAAGCAGCGCTTGCCCAGCTGCTCATGCGCGAATTATGGAATTCTAGTGGGGTGGTTAGCCATACTAAGTTACTACGTGAATCTTGGCAAGTGCGAACAAGGCAACAACACGGAATCTGGGGTCTCCAACCCCCAAAATACAGCCCAAATCCCAAGTTTCATTGTATACTCACACCATCTCACACCATCTCACACCATCTCACATCATCTCACACCTATACAACAGTTATACAAGCCCTTTGGAGCTGATGGCTCAAGGGTCAAACTGTTTCCGCCAGAAACTTCCACCCTTTTTTTCCGAGGTGCTAAAAGCCATGGCATGGCTGGCTGGATCAAGTATCGCAAGTTCACCACGCACCTCACCGTAATGTAAATAATCAACTCGGTCAGCTCCCAAATGGCCTCATGGGCTGTCAACATGCAGCGCTGTGCGCGCTTGACGTGTGCAACACCGTGTGACACCCACGCACTGCACTGAACATCTCTAGCTTGGGTCCGGTTCTATGGAGAAGTCGTGGATGTGAATTGGTCACTTGAGATCATTCCCTCAAATACTGAAAGTCGCTTACAGTACTCAGTACATCTCAGTACTACTTTTTACAAGCAACATGAAATCACGAGCGATACAGCCGGGAGTGACAAAGATTGGTGTCAATGCTCTGCCGACCCTGCCAATATATTTACGGGTATTGTACCAGCTGATCGCGGGGTGGCAAACAAAGTTCCACATGATTTCGGGGCCAAAGGAAACGCTGTGATCAACTAGAAACTTTTGCGTGCAAACCCCAACGACAATACCAAAACAACAATTTTCACTCAGGGTGGGGTGAGGGACCCTAGTTCTTTGCAAAGCAAAACCCAAATCTGAAGGGACCAAATCCTTGCCCTCTGCATATTAGCGATGCACACGTAAATTTCAGCAATGGCTGGCGGTGACCCATCTAATCCTAGCATGCATCACTACTTGGGAGGCTGTGGCCCGCGGAAAAAAATAAACACCAAACAGCTTCAAGCTCGATGTCTAACCTTGGATAATTCTCCCGCAAAAAGTTCAAGTTTTAGTAACTTTAAAGTATGTTAGATGAATATACCCCGAATTGAAAGCCAAACGTTGGTATTGCAGTTGTATACCCTCTGGTAATTTAACATAGCTATTGAAAATGATCATTTATAGTGGATTTACCCATTGAAAATGGTGATTTTCCATAGTTATGTTAGTTTACCGGAGGGTAATGTTTTATCCAGTTGGTTTCCCCAGAAACGTTTGGCATAAAACTGGGCCGTCCCAGGGACTCGAACCGAGACATAGCCCGCCCAACCGCTGAGGACAATGACACCAACGACCCCGATATGCCTCGGACGTGTCGCGAAGGGAGCGGCTGTATGTCAGAGACATCCATGTATATCCTCTGGTAATAGCTGACATAGCTATTGAAAATGGCCATTTATAGTGAGTTTTCCCATTAAACATGGTGGATCTTTCCATAGTTTTTTGTGTGTTTGCCAGAGGGTATATCCTCTTAGTAGATGAACTTATTCCCTGGATATTGCCAATTTTAGCAACTAAAAAAATCCAACCCCCATTTAAGGCAGGGGTCTATCTTAATTTGGGGGATGGTACATACAGAATACGATGTAACCTAGGCCATCCTAATCCTAGGCCAGTATGCTACATATAGATACATATGTATATACATATATATGTGTGTATTGATATGGTTTGATTCTATGTAAATATGATATGATATATGATAGATCAACAACATCAAACTTCAAATGGCTCGCATTTTGTACTCGGCATTTCTCGTGCCCTGAGGGTCTATGTAATTCAACCGGCATGAGGTGAAGCATAAACTTTCAACTGGTGGAGGCTCTAGTGACTCTAGTGACTCTAGTGCCCCTCCCAAATAACAAGAGCAACAAAAATAACATCTTCCAACCTGTACAATATGTATTCAATATTTGGTGCTCAAGGAATCCTGGCTGAGTTTTGGATCGATTCATTTTGGGACGGATTCTCAAAATTGGGGCACAGTAGTGCACCTGATTTTATAATATGAAATATATCAAACAATAAAATGTTTCATCCATTGATCTTTTGACCCACCCCCCAAAAAAAAAAGAAAACACAACAAAAACAAAAGCGGCCCTTCAGAGTGGTGCCCCCAAGTTTTAGGTCGATTTATAAACCCATCATCCCATCTATCTACAGATATCTACAGATATATCTACCATAAACATCCCGGCGGAAGGGAAACCGCGCGAGCATTTTGATTGGTTGCTTCCAGGAGAGTCACAATCACCTGTAATTTACAATATAAAATGCTCTTCCGATCAGTTTGGATAACTGAATTTGGGTTAAAAAAAGTGGATGCAAAATCTATTGATTTTTAACAAATCCAGGTAAACATCATGTGCATCAGACGTGGATGCGCAGATTTTTTTTCACACTCTTCGTCGGCTCAGCGATCCATCAGTGTGGAAGCTGTCTTCGACAGCAAGTTGCCATTATGGCACTCATAACGCCACTGCCAGCAACGCAGGTATAGCATGACATCTTTGTTCTGCCCTGCCTTTGTCTGCAAATTGCTAGGCACAATTTTTTTTAGCCAAATTCCACAGAGATCTCAGCAGCGTAGCAACATGTCACGTAGTAAACGATCCCAAGGATCTCAGCAGCGTAGCAACATGTAACGTAGTAAAAGATCCCAGAGATCTCAGCAGCGTAGCAACATGTCACGTAGTAAACGATCCCAAGGATCTCAGCAGCGCAGCAACCTGTAACGTAGGAAACTATCTCAGAGATACCAGCAGCGTAGCAACATGTAACGTAGTAAAAGATCCCAGAGATCTTAGCAACATCGCAATATATCCTGTACGAAGTTTGAGGAACGTTAACATGCCCCCCCACCCCACCCCATCCCAACCCCAACCCACACTAACATGGCAATATATCCTGTACGAAGTACGAGGAACGTTAACATGCCCCCCCACCCCACCCCACCCCGACCCCAACCCACACTAGAGATCTCAGCAGCGTAGCAACACGTAACGTAGTAAAAGATCCCCGAGATCTTAGCAACATGGCAATATATCATGTACGAAGTACAAGGAACGTTAACATGCCCCCCCACCCCACCCCAACCCCAAGACAAAGAGCAATACTCAAAAAAGAAGCAAAACGCACGTACGGTTTTCCTGCCGTAGGCATAAACATCCATACACCCCAGTTTTTCACTACTGAGAACACCAACTTCCCTATAGAAAAATGAACTGCACATCCCCTTACCCTCTGGTAATTTAACGTAGCTATTGAACATGGCCATTTATAGTGAGTTTTCCCATGAAAAATGGTGGATCTTTCCATAGTTTTTTGTATGTTTACCAGAGGGTAAATCACCGCCAGTGGGTTTCACCCCACATCCAGTACCATAGCACTGCAGCAGCTGCACATGCGCCCGTTGCGGCAGGTCCCAGCGCTGGAGCAGGCGCAGCAGCTGAAGCCGCGCCAGCGCCGCGAAGTGCTCCAGGACGTGCCAGGCATAGCCGGGCCAGGGTTGGGCATCCATGGCGCACCGAAACGGTGAAACAAAGCAAGCGGCAGGGGCACTGGTAAGGCACCATACTATATATATTATATAATTATATATATATAATATATATATATATATATGTATATATATATATATTTATAGTTGATGGTTGAAAGATTAGACGATATTGATAGTGAATTGTAGTGTGAACTAAGCTCTTAGCCCTTGTTGGTGGCGGATTCTTTAGATGCTTTTCGTGGGGTCAAAGTTTTTTGGGGGATGTGATAGAGACAGGACAGTGACAACACACCAACATGCACTTGATTCAATGCCTACTTATGGTATGCATCATGGTGCTAGCCTTCTGTTGAGCTTGCCGCGGAAGCTTTCTCCAGCGGCCCCCTCTGAGCATGGAGCAGAGCCAGTTTGACACAATGAACTGGGTAGAGCTGCAACTCAAAATGGATGAACTGATGAACCCAAGAATGGTGGTCATGTTATGTCATGCTAAAGGCTTGCATGATTTTGAGACATGGGCTTGTCCAGAACGGGGAGAACCCAAAATAGCAACTTCAATCCGAATATTGTATATATGATGATGATTTATATATATATATATATATATATATATGTATATACATGTGTGTATGCGTATATAATCGTATATATGGACTATACATGTATATATATATATATGTATATATATATATAATATAACATACTGATCAATCATTGGAATTTGGGCACTGCTGCGCCTGTAAGTCCACCGCAGCATGAAGGCGACTGTACTTGCTCTTGGGGTCATCAATTTCACCTGAGAGGCTGGCAAGAGGCAAATCTAATAAATAAACCAATCCCAATAGGTAACGATGTTGGGATTATGAAACAAACCATCGCCAAATAAGGGTAATTGTACAGTATACCCAATCATAAACACAATTTCTAGATGGTTTGCTTTTGGCTTTGCCACATTACCGCAAAGACCATGGGTTGTTGCTTTTTTTTTTTGGTGACTTTCTGGGCTGTAATGTTTGGGGCACACGTGGCTATCATACTTATGTTGTCGTATGTGAACTCCCCGGGAATTTGACATAGCTATGGAACATGAGCCATTTATAATTAGATAATACCCTCCGGGAATCAAACATGGTAAATGAAAATCACCCATTTATCATTTATAGATGAATTTCCCATTGAAACCCTCCACTTATCATTTACAGTTTTTTCGGGATTCCATGAGACCCCCCAGAGCCAGGTTTGATTACCGAACATTAATGAACATTATATACCTATTTATTAAACCTGGTTATTTTCTGCTGAGTGAAATAACCAGATCCAGAGAGTATGTCCTTTTGACCTGCCATTCCCCCTGGACAACTGCCGATGATCTCTCCAATGTGGAACCACGTGGAACCCCCAAAGTGAAGAATTACATTCAACTGGGGCTTCGGGTGTTTGTAAAAAGGGGACAAGTAGTTAGTTGCACATCCCCCTATGCTGATTCAACAGGATCTTGGATTCCTGTGTCCACATTGGTGGAGTGTTCAAGATGCCATCATGCACCAGCGGCACGTGCGATGTTAAACATCCTTTTTGACCTCTCTTTTAATGGAGTTCAAACAGGAAAATCAATGCATCATGTGGTTGTTTCCCAAAAATGAGGCGTCCGATATTCCCGTTGAACAATGCATAGTGCCTAGTCGGGTGTGTTTGAACATAGGATAGCCCTAAAACCTAAAACCAGTGTATCATATTGTATCATCATTTTCATCTTACGATGGCTATAAATTGGGGATATACCCCATTTGGACGCACATCCAAACATCATATTGCTGGCCATGTCCCGCAAAAAAATATCCCCATTGCGTCCCTATAAAAAAGTTGTCTACCATCTCACTGTGGGTAAACATCCCTATTGGAATCCATTAAATATCATCAACTCATATCTAATCGCTCAATATTATATCTGTAAGATACATTAAGATACACCCATGATTCTCCCATTATTCATGCTAAGCTGCTATACGATATTTACATTTTAATTTACTATATCCCCATGACATTCCCATGAAACTTATCCCATGTGCCAGTAACACTATGGCCAACCTGTGCCAACCAGCGAGGGGCGAATCTTATACTGCAAGATGGGGACGATACTCCAGGCCAGCAAGCCCTCGGCCGAAGCGAGGTTGGTCGATGTTTCAGAGGGGAAACAAAGTCCGAATAGGATTTACCCTCTGGTAAACTAACATAGCAATGGAAAATCACCATTTTTAATGGGAAAATCAACTATAAATGGCCATTTTCAATAGCTATGTTAAATTACCAGAGGGTATGGGGATTTAATGGTACTTAATGGTGTGTATAGAAAGTTGTGGATATAGAAGTATCACGAATCATATGTTTATGATGTGGGTATCTTATGGTATCTTGTTTTGATGGAGAAATTCACCAAACATGATACACGAACAAGTCATCAATGATATGACACTTGTATACGCGTATAGTTTAAAAAACAAATGCTCGGCATGCTGGTGGCATACAATCAATTCCCAAAATTAGCAGGCAAGCGAAATAGAAATGAAACCAGCACTGACACAAAAACATACAAGAAAATCACATGCCTAACAAACAATTGAATCCGCCCATGTGGTTCATGCCCTCAGATTCATGACTCGACTGCTATGAAAAATCACCGCCAAAGAAGGCCAAGGCGACCAAGCAGCATAGATGCCGTATCCTCAGCTGTGCGCTCAAAACTCATGGTGGGCGGTGTCCAGGACACTGCCCAGTGACCATCCCCGAAGCCCAAAAAATTGCAGTTTCCAACAACAGTTCTGTCTCAACATGTCAGACGTACCAAAAAAAACATGACAGAATCTGCCCGAATAAAGACAGTAGGATATGCCTAACTTTATTACATCTATATACATAATGATTTCCAATGAATAACACACCATAATAAACCCAAAGTGATTTCCAATGAATAACACATCAACATTTAAGCCCATAATATTATTATTATTATTGTATACTGGTTGGTGGTTTCAACCCCTCTGAAAAATATTAAATGGGAAGGATGACATCCCATATATGACATGGAAAATAAAAGCCATGTTTCAAACCACCAACCAGTATTAAGATATAAGCCAATTTATGGGATAAGCCCACTTAGGGGACTTACTATTATATATATATATATATCATTATATATCTGCAGCATTTTCTGGGGCTTCCACCTTTTCCCCACCTGGCTTCCCCATTGAAAAACCGTCCAAGGCGCCGGCGAAGGCCCGGTCCTTGGCGGCATCCTCCTCGTCGAAGGCGGCATCCACGGCGCCCAGGAAGCGCCTGATCATCTCGTAGAAAAACCTGGGGCTTACGAAGTGGGACCTGTTTTGATGTCAGGTTCATTGGGTTTAATATGGTTTTATATGGTTTTAATATGGTTTCAATATGGTTTAATAGGGTTTTAATATGGTTTAATAGGGTTTAATATCATGTTCATTGGGTTTAATATGGTTTAATATGGTTTTATATGGTTTTAATATGGTTTTAATATGGTTTAATAGGGTTTTAATATGGTTTAATAGGGTTTTAATATGGTTTAATAGGGTTTAATATCATGTTCATTGGGTTTAATATGGTTTTATATGGTTTTAATATGGTTTAATAGGGTTTTAATATGGTTTAATAGGGTTTAATATCATGTTCATTGGGTTTAATATGGTTTTATATGGTTTTATATGGTTTTATATGGTTTTAATATGGTTTAATACGGTTTAATATCATGTTCATTGGGTTTAATATGGTTTAATAAACTATAAAAAACTTACAATGAGTGGTTGAAAATGTGTATAGATAATACATTCAAATACGTTCAGGTTTATTAAAAATATCATATAGACATAATATAATGTGCATAGCAATGTTGGTTGAACATGTGTATACATATATGTATAATGGACAAACGTTTTTTCTGAATCGTTTAGTGACTTGAATCGTGTAATCGAGGGTTGGTGGCTGATGGTTGATAGACATCATGGGGTGATCTCCAACGACCAACGGATGCGACCAAAGTGTGCTGCGGAGAAACGAGCTCACCATCCAGGCGTAAATGGTGCTTAAGCACTTCGTGGCAAACATCTGCATCACACTTTCCTTCACGCGGAAAAAGGTGCCAAAAATGCGAAACACAAAAAAAAGGATCCATTGGTGTGATGTGGCATAACTGGGGGCCGCAATCGGCACACGTTGGGACTATATCACCAAATAAATAGCCATTCTCTCCCTCTCTCTGTCTAATTCGATCCATCGCGCAATGGGGGCAGAAGCGTACAGCAAAACAGCCCCTCCTGTGCCCTCATCTTCTTGAGATCTCGGTTGCGCATTGCCTTGTTCAGAAGCTGCAGGCTGGTGATGAACACCAAGTGGTCCTGGGCAAGTTCGCCAAAGACAATGTCATTGCCTGTAGGTTTGCAAGGCACTCTCATCTCCAAGGATCTACTAAATACTGCAGTATAATGTAATCAGTAATCAGTGTCATGTGTAATTAAGATTAATTGAGTACGTGGATGAACCCCTGGTTCTTGATATCTCAATAGTTCAGCTGGATGAGGCTATGTACAAGGGATGTGATCAGCAATCCAGGATAGAAAGGAAGGAATGATTAAGACTTGACACAACTGGTAAATAATTGGCCAAGAGCATGCGCCCAAAAATTTTGATGTGAGTGAGTATGAATAAACACTTAAATTCTATAAACAGTTCAAATAGCCATATATAGCCATATAATGAAACACGTTGATAGTTTACAATCCTCTTATTTATTTCTTAAACACATGTAATGTCAACTGTCAACCGTAAAAAAAAAATTGGTCCCAACAGCTCTTAGGTTTTGCTTGTCCCACCGGTCACGAACATCATCTACGGCATAAAGGATGACAATTATCTGTGACATGTGCGGCCAGCATCGCGCAATCGACAAAGTGTTCCTACTTCGTCTTCATGGACTTTGTTTTGCCTACCTCATTCTCAGGGTGTTCCCACATCGTTTTGCAACCGAAATATTGCATTTTCAGCAACCAGGGCACACCCGCCAAGACAACTCTTCACTTCATCAAATAAAATAAATGCCGTCACTCACATGGATGCTAAAATTACATTGGTACATGTTCTGCAAGCATCCGCAAGTCGCATTTCTTCCATGCCAGCAGGGTGTACGCATGCTTTCACTTCTGAACCCAGTGAGGGATTGTCGGATTGCTGGGGGAATATGGGGAAATAATTTTTGATACTTGTCACGGCTTATCCTGCTTTTATATGGAGGTCTGCTAAGATGGGGGTACCCCTAAATCATCCAAAACAAGACAATTTTTGTACTATTGAAACCCTTGGTTTTGGGAATCCCCCATTTTAAGAAACCTTCATATACACTTTCCACATGCTTCCTCATTCCAATGGTCCTCAACCTCATCTTGCGTCTGTTCCAGTGCTTGACGATGCACCTGCGAAGGTCATAACAGGTGCATTGTCCGCATCGTGCGTAGATGTGGGGGATGAAGAAAACCAAGAGAAAAAAGGGGGAGGCTCAAAAGAAAAAACACATGTTCCAAACTCTCATTCCAGATCACATCCATTTTTTTTCCTTCACAGACGAATTTAACGGGTAAGCAGCATGTGAAACAGTCATGCGTCATGCCCAGAAAAATCAATGGTCACATGATTTCGCCCCGAGCCCAGCAGGAGCACGACGGAGCAGGCCTCAATATCAGACTTCTTGGCTTTTACCAAATTCTGTCGCACTTCTTCTGGACTCACCTTGAGCTGGCATTTGCTGTTAGAAGTGAAGTGAACATCGCTTGGCTTTTGTCAAATATTATCAAATATGCCGACCAATGGAGAGTTATGTGCAGGTGAAAATATTTGCCGGGAATGTAGAGCGGTAAATAAATGTCTATGTCCAGGCAAACCCCAAACACAACTATTTCCCAAGCAATTCCAAAGAAATGATTTTTTCCCGGAAAAAGTTGTGGTAGTCCGGGTCTTCTCGTCAGTCCGGGTAAAGTTGTTCCCCACCTGCCAGGTGAGGGTTGTTAGATTTTATCAGAGCTGTTCTCCTCCTCCTCCGCCTCCGCATCCTCCTCCTCCTCATCCTCCTCTTCCTCCTCGCAGTCCAGATCCCAGTGGGCACAGCCGGATCTCCACCGCGAGCGCCAGATCTCAGTGGGCATTGCCGGACCTCCACCGCGAGCTCAAGATCCCAGCAGGCACTGCCGGGACCCAACCGCGACTTCCAGTTTGCAGTGGGCACTGCCGGACCTCATTCGCGACTTCCAGATCGCAGTGGGCACTGCCGGACATCAACCGCGACTTCCAGATCGCAGTGGGCACTGCCGGACCTCAACGGGAAGAATGTGAGAAAAGATGTCAGATAGAATGTCAGAAGATATGCCAGATAGAATGCCAGAAAGATCAAGAAAGAATGCCAGAAAGAATGTCAGAAGATATGCCAGACAGAATGTCAGAAGATATGCCAGATAGAATGCCAGAAGATATGTCAGATAGAATGCCAGAAGATATGCCAGATAGAATGCCAGAAGATTTGCCAGATAGAATGCCAGAAGATATGCCAGAAGATATGCCAGAAGATATGCCAGGTAGAATGCCAAAAGATATGCCAGATAGAATGCCAGAAGATTTGCCAGATAGAATGCCAGAAGATATGCCAGAACATATGCCAGAAGATATACCAGATAGAATGCCAGATAGAATGTCAGAAGATATGTCAGATAGAATGCCAGAAGATATGTCAGATAGAATGCCAGAAGATATGCCATATTAGAATGCCAGAAGATTTGCCAGATAAAATGCCAGAAGATATGCCAAAAGATATACCAGAACATATGCCAGAAGATATGCCAGATAGAATGCCAGAAGATATGCCAGATAGAATGCCAGAAGATTTGCCAGTAAGAAAATGTATAAATGTCATGGTGGGGATCATTCGAAGTGAAGTAATTTTCTCTGTTTTTTTTCCGGTGAACTAATTTCTCCGGGACATTGTCGGTTTCATGGATGAGTGGTTGGTTTTTCTCTTTATGGTTAAATTTGCTGAAGTGGGATGTGTGTAGCGCAACTCCAAAGCCGGCTGGGCCACTTGTCAGCGATCAAAGCTGTATTCAATACTTTACCCTACAGAAACCAAATGTTGCGGCGAAAAACACATGTGCCAACAATCAAGTCTGAGCAAGAGTCACAGGGAAATGGAAAACTCCCACACATAAAGCTTAGGACCCCCAAAAAACGAGACAAACTGGTTGTATTCTGTATTCCAGCACGATCCTTCCAATAGACGAGGCAAGAGCTAGAGAACTGACGTTCTCCAGACAAAACCTTGGATTTATAGAGAGTCTAGCGCGCACACTCCAGCATAGTCTGACGTAACTTGTGCAAAATACTTTTATGTTCTCCGGGTTTTTTCCGGTAAAATTCTCGCGCTAACTCCGGGTTTTCTCGCGTTCAGTCCGGGTAGGTAATTTCTCCGGATGTTTTGTCGGAATCATCTGTTTCCAAAAGTTATATTTTCTCCGGGTTTTCTTTTATTTTCTCCTGGTTTTTCTACATTATCTCCGGGTTCATTTGGTCGGAATATAAAATGCTTATGTTTCCATCATGTTCCATCATGTTCTTCCTCTCAAATTCTACCATGTCTCAAGTAGCCGCTTTTCTGGCAAGGTGACCCTCCGACAGTCCTGGAAATCAGCTGCTAGACCAAGGTTGCAGCAAGTGGCTAGCGTTTCCAACCGGCAAAGGCTTGCATGTGCAGTGCACAGCAGCACATTTCAGTTTGATGTGGGTGGCACCAGCGCGCAGAACGTAGAGTTCATTTTGAGAAATGTTAGAAACAGTAATGGAAACTTAACATGCAAGACCACTGAAGCCAGGGCCAAGATTCCCGAAGAACATCGAAAAACGAAACTGACAAAAAATTACGTCAGTCCGCTATTTTTCCGGTAGAACAAAAATTTTCCGGTAAATCCGGAAAATAAAAGTTTTTCCTGAAAACTTTGATTTTTGACCTTTTCCGGTTTGACTGGATGTCTAAACAGTTGTAAAATGCTCATAGGCAGGCCCTGTTACAACGAAATGTGATGACCAAATATTCGCGTCCAAGCATTGCTGGCGGAGGTTGCGTGATGCCTTCAGAACTTTGAGCACTTTGGTCTCAATCTCCAACTTCTCCTTTTGGGCCCTGTCCTGTGCATGGAATGGTTCAAATTTATGCACATACATAATAAAATTGTATATGTTGTATACAATTATTTATTATTGTGATGATAATATAGTAATTATTAATAATTTTAACATATGTGTATATATTATATAGTGGAATCCCTTCAATTCCAAGTCCATTGTGGAATTGAGGTCCTGCTTCAATGCGGACCAGTTGCTTCGGAGATGCTCCAGTCTGGTTTGTACAAGGTACCATCCATTTCTGGCGAAATATAATATAGAAAATGTGTTTACCGATTTTACCGCATGAAGCAAGACTTGAACATCGGGGCTTGGGCACCAAAAGCTGTCAGTCCTTTGCAGTCTTCTCTCTTTTAATCGAATTTGGCTGACCCGGGGCCATTGCTCCTCATCTCATGGAAAACATCTGGGGGGGACTTCTCCTTGACCTAGATGAGATATGATAAGTTTGCAAAGAGATGGGGTCAACTCCCGAAAAAAATCAGGATAATAATAGAACTTGATGATACTTGATGCAAATAGATATGATAATATCACACACACATGTTGTCCTAGTGACCTTAGTAAAGTTCAATTTCTTTGCACCGAACACAGCCGAACCCATGCCCACAGAGTATAGCTGGCAGTTCCTATCATATGTGACTCTAAATTGGAGGCACTGGGACTCAAAAGTTCGACATCTCAAATTCACTTGGTCATCTGGTAGTGCGCATGCAAAATTGGTCAAATTCATCCCTTTGTCCCATCATCAACAGTTTACCCATGAGCCAATGGTCAACCCCTGTTTCCATGTCATCTTGGCAAATTACTACGATGCACACACCTGATTTATAATAATTTTGTTTCTCATGTTTCTCTCTCTCTCTCTCTCTCTCTATTGGCATGGTTAAAGTGATTTATAAACATATATACATATATGTATAACATTGTAAGACTATTTTGGAATGATTCCGTGATTCCCAAAATTCTCATATTATGGGTGGCCTGTGAAGTTGCTATACTTCTTCCAGTGAGATCCCAATTTTAAATCAAGCCTTTACACTTGTGCCTCATAAAATCCCATTTGATGATAGCAACTAAAACCAATTGTAGTGGAAACATATCATCATCATCATCATCATCATCATCATCATCATCATCATCATCATCATCATCACCACCACCATCATCATCATCATCGTCATCATCATCATCATCATCACCATCACCATCACCGTCAACGTCACCGTCATCGTCATCATCATCATCATCATCATCACCATCACCATCACCGTCACCGTCAACGTCACCGTCATCGTCATCGTCATCAACAAGTGTATCATGTGGACAATCAAAACCCACTACCCTCTGGTAAACTAACATAGCTATTGAAAATTGCCATTTATAGTGGATTTTCCCATGAAGAATGGTGATTTTCATTGATTTTCCATAGTTATGTTAGTTTACCGGAGGGTAGCCACTACTTTTGTGTCTTTTGGTGCTGAACCTCCAAATGATTCCGGACCCTCGGCTGTACCAATGGGCCACTGTCAAGGCTCCCCTTCGAGATTTGGCTTCACGCACTGCTGACCGCCCCCGGGTCGTGCCGTGGCCGTGGCGTTTAAGCCAAACAGCTAGCGATGGGCAAATTAAGCATGCTCGCAACCACCAAGCAGTGATTGAATATATTTCCACAATCTGTATCAATCTGTCACATCATGATCACTCACAACATCCTCAGGAATCTTCTGCAAAAAGTCTGGCACGATTTTGGCCAGCAAAAACAGAATGCTTCATATCTCGGCAGTTTTGGAACGAACCCTATAGCTAGTTAGTGATGCCAAAAAACATGTCAGGTACAGGTCCATCTGCAGCCCCTCATCCAGCCCCAAGCCCAGGGGACCCAGATCCAATGCCATGGCGGATGCTTTGGAGAACCTGGCAGCAATAGGCGACTTGGAGGTCCCACTTGGTGACTGGTCAATAACCATAGTTAAAAGTTTTACTGGTTGGTGGTTTTAACCATCTTGAAAAATACTAGTCAATGGGAAGGATTATCCTATATATTATTATGGAAAAATGTTTGAAACCACCAACCAGTATAAGTTATAAGTTATAAGCCAATTTATGGGATAAGCCCACTTAGGGGACTTACTATAGCCAGACATAACCAGACTAACCAGGCTTTTCTTACCACAACGAACGGCCTGTTCCACAGCAAACGCTCCCAGCACAACCGCGGCCTGGGGAAAGATTCGGCCTCCTGAGCTGCCACTGCCCAGTTCGTTGATCTACCCTCTGGTTATGACTAACAGTTCGCCATGGAAAATGATGGCCCATAGAAATAGATGATTTTCCCAGCTAGATACCTCCATTTATTTTGGGGATTTTCCATGGCTATGTTAAATAACCAGATGGTAAGTTGGATCCACCCAAGAAATAGTGGTTATTTAACAGTTCGCCATGGTATAGATGGCCCATAGAAATAGGTGGTTTACCTATTACTATTGAACATGGTGGATCTTTCCATGGCTATGTAACAAATAACCAGATGGTAGTTCTATGACCTGGTCAATGTTCTATTATACCTCCTGAAGATTTCGTGCATTTTGAATAGCCGAATAGATTCCCGGTCGTCACCATGGCAGAGGGATCCTCGTTGGTGAGAGTCAGGGGCGCCTTGCTCGTGATGAATGGCCTGAAGCAGCAGAGCCAGCTGCCATCATTGCATGGCTATGGCCAAACCCTTCCCAGAAAAGGTTTTTCTTTGTCTGTGCCAAATTTAGCCGTCCATATACTGTATATAGATATAATGTATATATATATATATTATATATATATATATAAGTGCGAATCATTACTAATTATCCATCAACAAAAATCAGGGACACGTGACCTCTGGTGATTTTTGATGAATGCGCCCTCCAAAGCTATACATTAAGCGGAACTTCAAGCGGGTACTCAATATCATAAGGAAATGGAATCACTTGCAGATATTGGATTTAATTTGCAATAATACCAATGTAATAATAACATTGGTATAACATCACCTATCCTTCACTATCTCCCCGCTGCGCCTCACATTTCGCCGTGGCTGCTTCACCCTGGGCATAGATGGCGGGCGCGGCACCGAGAACACGTATGGAGTGAAAGCCTTGGGGCCGCCCAACAGCATGGCGACCTGAGCGATCTTCCAGGAGGCAGGCTGAAAAATTGGTTGATTGTTCCCGGTAGCCATGGGCCGAACACCATTTTTTGGAAATAGTAATTTTAACTGGATATTCGAGCAACACCTGCTTTTAAACATCATTTCTCGACAAAATGTACTTTTAGGATAACTGAAACAAAAAAAATGAGTCTTAACCAAATTTGTCACAGTCGGGTGAGTGGGATTTCTATCACACCAATCAATGTCAAGGTGGATCTTAAACAGGTGACCTCAGACTCAGACTTTCAGGAAATATCAAAGTTTGGGCGAACTGTCGCAGTGTCAACAAATGCCGTGTACAGATGTTCCACGCTTGAAACAGTCACAGCAGGCAGCCAAATCAAAAATCCCGATTGTTGATAAGCAATTCAATGCATGACATGTACGTAATCCACAAATACTTACTGGTGCTTAGTAGGGAATGAGGGAATGATCCATAATCACTAGTAATAATCATCCCATTCCCCCATTCCCATCCATTCCCTGCTAAGCACCAGTAAGAATAGGTTTTTCATGGTTTTCCCCCTGCCCGTCTGACACCAAGATGCGCTTGGGCCCCGCAAGGCCACAGGAGGCGACAAAGGCAAACAATCCAATGGCAGGAGCACCTACAACCGCCATGAAACAAAAGGAGTCCAAGGATTCAGAAGATCTCCCTTACGGTTGTCGGGTGTTGTTGGGCATTGTTGGATCTCAATTTTTTGCACGGCGTCATTGAAAGGATGCTTTGTCAAGTGGATGATTCGTAAGCAAAACCAAAAAAAACGGCAACTTTCAGATACAATACCCATGATCCGGCACCTGCTTCTCCACTTCGTTTCGAGGGCAGACCTCTGTAGCCACCCTGCTCCTGGCGAACCTGGTGTGGAAGCAGACCAACTTAGCACGGAAAATGCCACAAAAACTTGACACGGGCATGATTTTGGAGACCTCACTTGAGGCGGTGACACATCTTTAGATGACTCCAACTAGCCATTTAGGCTTTATTTGGGAGGGGCACGGTTTGCTTTTGAACGATCCATTTAGGGTTTCTTTTGGGGGTGGGGAGGGACCATTCTACTTACACCATCACTGCAGCTTTCTGTCAAAAGATAAGCCCGGCTCCTTCCACTCTAAAAAATGTTACTCGTTCTTTCCTGGTCTTGGGACATCTTCTGCTAAACTGGCCATTTAGGGTTTATTTCGGATGGTGATATTCATTAAGACAATGTTGAGGAAAAAATGATGATCATTAGGATGATGATGAAGAAGACAATGATGATGTTCAGGATGATGATGATGATGATGATGATGATGAGGAGGATTTTGAGGATCACGTAGAGGAGGGTTGTGTTGAGGAGGGGGGAGGTTGAGGAGGATGATGATGAGGATGATGAGGAGGATGATGATGACGATGACGATGATGGGGACGAGGACGAGGACGAGATGATGGCGACGACGACGACGATGATGATGATGACGATGAAGAACCCGTTGGTTTAAATTGGTTTAAAACCAATTTTTCCCCATCGACATTGCCATATATCATGGTGCTGGCCAGATTCGCCTTTATTCCGTATCATACTTCATTGCATATCAGTTTTGTTCACTAAACCTCTCAACCATATGTATTGAATATCATATCTACCTGCTCAAAAAACACAATCATCTTCAATATATTCACATTATTCTCCTAGTACTGATATCCCCACAATATCCACCTCAAATACCACGTGTGTTCAATCACTTCCGGCTCACCCGGCCGTCGACCTCTTACCCGCCAGTAGCAAGGCATCGGCCGCCGGAGGCTTCTCAAAGACACGGGCCTCACCAGAAACCATATAGGTTTCAAAACCATAACAGCTGGATGGTTTACAAATTGGAAAATCCAAAAATAACATGGATGATTTGGGGGCGCCCCAATGGCCTAGGAAACCTCCATAGGTTTTTTCTCCCAGATGGTTTCCAAGATGGTTGGGATAATCATCATCTGGAATTGGAAATGAAAAAGCAGGAGATTTACAGGAAACCATGCGACTATAATATCTTTTGACCAATGCATCTTTTGCTGGAATTTCCTGTAGAGAACTGTTGCCATTTTAGTTGGGTGTGTGGATATGCACTACAACTACTGGCTTGAGGAATGCAATTTTAATATAGACAATAATCATCCAAAGCATAAGGAGGATGAATGATACTAATGATACTAGTACAATACATACTAGTAATTTAAATTCCTTCCAGCACTGAACGGAAACAGGTCTCCAGGAATATATCACGTACTGTAATTCATACAAAAACATACAAAAACCAATCACCTGGTCTAAGACCCATTGGTACCAGAACGATAAACGTTTATTCATTGTTTTTGAAGCTGTCATTTCCCTCCGGAGGCCCTGAGCTTCCCTATGAGTTTCCGCATTGGCACCCCTTTCCACCATGGGTTTCCCTATCAGAATTGGTCCGCGATGTCAAAAGATCCCCGGAAGGTGGTGCCCCACCACTTGGCTACGTGCGTTCATAAGTAGGTTAACTCAAGTTTATGATAGATACACACACAAACGTACACACACACACATATATATATATAACTATATATATATATATGATTATTAAATTTCACGAGCTCCTGGGATTTTGTGATTTTTAGGGAATATTGGATATCAAGGTCAAGATGCAATATTTGGTGCAGTGTACGCGCACAAGGGTGGCACCAAAAAACTTAAGCGTCATGGTTTGCACGGGTTTGCACTGGATCAGCCTTCCATAAATGGAAGTGGTCCAATTAATCGTTCAGAAAAAATGAAACGGTCGGAAACGGTCGGAAACAGTCGGAAACGGTCGGAAACGGTCGGAAACATGATCAGGCCAAAACTTGTTCAACCCGCATTTTTTTTTAAATAAGCATTTCCGCGCAACGCCGTTTTTTTTTGAAGGTCCAAAGGTGTCCAAGGGGAAACGGTTGGAAACAGTCGGAGATGGCACCTTCGCTCGGCAAAAAAGTACTTGTTTTTTAGCATATGTTCATGAAAAATGTTTGAAAATTGTGTAAAAACAAGTATTGCATCTTGACCTTGATATCCAATATTCCCTAAAAATCACAAAATCCCAGGAGCTCGCGAAATTTAATATATATGATATATATTTAAAGCTAATATTATATTATAAAAAAACATGTAATATTGTATAAAATAACATTGAATTATATTATATCATATTATGTTATGTTAAGTTATATATGTTAAATAAAATTCAATTATCAAAGGAAGTTGGGAAGCAATCTGCCGAGTTACGGGCAAATAGAATTGTGAGACTTTACATCACAGAACAATAAATTCATGAAGGGTGGTGTGAAACTTTACATCACATAATAATACATCATGAAGGGTGGTGTGAAACTTTACATCACATAATAATACATCATGAAGGGTGGTGTGAAACTTTACATCACATAATACATCATGAAGGGTGGTGTGAGGCTTTAATACGGCACATTCCAAGACAAAGGCATTGTAATGGCTGCATGAATGTTGCATGGGGCTTGTGTTGGGGAGGAAGACCTTGTGTTTTTCCGTGTAAAGTGGCTGCAGGAGGCGGTGAAGGGCAGCTCCTGTGTAAGGCGGTTGCGGGTACGCTCGTTTTGATGTTTTTTGGTTCTCCCTTGGTGTTCTGCACTTTGCGTGTCTTCGTGTCTGCGTAGCTCTATGCGGTTGTGGAATCCCTGGTTGCAGATCGCATTGGAATGGCTGCATGAATGGTGCATGGGGCTTGTGTTGGGGAGGAAGCCGGAGCACGAAACCTTGCGTTTTTCCGTGTAAAGTGGCTGCAGGCGGCGGTGAAGGGCAGCTCGTGTGTGAGGCGGTTGCGGGTACGTTCGTTTTGATGTTTTTTGGTTCTCCCTTGGTGTTCTGCACTTTGCGTGTCTTCGTGTGACGTGCGTGGTTCTATGCGGTTGTGGGATCCCTCGTTGCAGATCGCATTGGGGTGGCTGGTTGACTGTTGTCATGATTTGTTGCCATGTGCATAGAGACACTCGAGTTAGGCACGTGATGTTGCTAAACGCATTGTAATGGTTGAATCAAGGTTGCTTGCTGACGCGGCTGCATGCGTAATACTATTGTCTTTTGCAGCTGGACATCGTAAATCGTATTGGAGTGGCTGCGTCAAGGCTGCGATAGTGATTTGTCAGCAGATTTTAAACATTTTGGCGCCGGCGATTTTCCGTTTAGAACTCCTTTAAAAAGTGGCAATTTCTGCTGCCATTATTTACAACAAAGAAGACGAACGTAGTGAATTTTATCTGTTTTTCTCCAAGATCCATTAAAAGGAGACATTGTCAACGTGTAAGGCTTCTGAAGAAGATTTGTGAGCTTTCTCTCTGTTGAATTTTTGGTGTTTGACACAAGTTATATGACTGCAGCTGTTTTGAGTTTATGTTATGCAACCATAGTAGCGAAGCGAAGTCTAGAAGAAGTATTCGCCACTACGACCATCTAATTAGTGCATCGAGATGTTTGTCAAGAAGAACCGCTAGTCTGTGGAACACAGGTTGGAAGTTGATATTTCATGCAATATGGTCCGCTTTGTCGCACGAGTTGGTCCTGCAAAGTTTGGTGGCTCCATGATGAAAGACAGCTTAAACACACGATACAGAATTCAATCAAAGAAGTAATTGTTGCATGCAAACAGGAATATGATGAACATAAAGCAAGGTATTTTGCTATGCGCTGGACTATATCAGCAAAATCAAGTGGTATGCAAAGCAGTGGGACTGAAAGGAACGAAGGCACGGTAGTGCGGCCTGTCTTCGTGCTTTGGAAGCCGGCGTGGCGTTTGCACGGGCACGGCAGTATGGCGGAACCGAATGCTTTTGCAAAGTTGCCCTGAGTCTCCGAAACTAGTAAATTTACTTTTTGCCTAAATTTAATGTAAATGAACAATTTACTTGGTACCAAGTAAATTTTTGAGAAAGTATTTTTTTAAGTAAATTTTTGGCCAATGTAGAAACAGCATAGAAACCGCATAGAAACAACATACAAACTGCAAGTGGTGGTTTTTATTTGTGGAAGAAATTTATGGAAAAAACATCACACTTCACTACAAAGAAGCATTTTTTATGGTAGAGTTCATTTCTGTTGTTGAAAGCTGGTGTTAGGAATAAGGTAAAATATGAAAAAATGTAAGTTTTGTATTGCAGAAGCTGTTTTTCCAACACATGGAATTTTGTTTAACCTGATCTCATGCAAATGTCAATTGTGGGATTGCAATGTTTCTTGTAACCTGCCAAGCTTCAACTTCTCAAGTACATGATAATATAATGATCATGAAAGCTAAAAGTAGGTTACTTTCTTTGTTTCTCACAAGTAATGAACCCAACTTGGAAAGCCGTAATTTCTGCTTTGCCTGTGGTGAAACTATTCAAGTTTATCCTTTGCACTGCATCCACATTAAATGGCGCTCCTTCCAAGCAGCTTTCATTGAAGCCTACCAGTGTTTGCTGCCATGCAAGCAAGACTTCCAAAGGACCTGTGCACGACGCATAGTGGACTCTCCTTCGTAACACCATATCAGGAAAGGGTGTATACAGTTGGAAAATTGCAAACTGTGCCATGCGAAATGAGTTTTGCTTGTGACATTAAAAAAAATTACATCAGTTGCCTCAAAGTGTTCATTGAGTTGCTTGTGGAGCTGGGCCATTGAAAGCCCTCCTTGGAATGCTTTGGTGTATTGTGGTTCTGGAAGTGCTGTGTGGCCATAGGTAGGCGAGAATGTTTCCAAAATGTCTTTGAGCTCCAAATTCAATTTCAAAAATAGACGAATGCGTAGGTGGTGCTGATCACCTTGATCCATGTAGTGTGACCAAAGATCAAACATGCAATGGGCTAGTCCAGCAATGTCACTGGTTCTGCCACGAAGTTTGGGGTAGCCTTTCTTGGGCTGGAACATTGTCAACTTGTCCAGTTTCATGCGATAGGGGTGCTTTGCTTGGTTTCTCTTCTGGTGTTGTCAAATAAAGACAAAGATCTCTTGGAGGTTGTCCATTTCGTCTCCAGGGAGGATGATGAACACCAAGAGATGCAGCAAGAAACCATAAGTAGGTCTCAAGTAACTTCTCATGTATTGCAGCAACAGCTCAAAAGGTGAAATCAGTGTGTCATATGAATTTGGATTCCCAGGTAAGTCTCAGGTAACACATCAGACCTTGCTGTTCGTGTTTTCCAGCTGCAGGTGAAGGCAAGTCAAACTGCACAGCACTATTTGTGCAATCAGGGATTTTATTTTGATCTGAATGCAAAGGATGTCCAAGTAGATTGGTGTCATACTCATGTATGGGTTATCTTTGGATCATTTTCTGATGAAATGTTGATGTTTCCTGGATGAAAAATGTTGTTTGTTATGAAAAAATGATATGCAGTTTGTACGCAGTTTGTATGCAGTTTATATGCAGTTTATATGCAGTTTCGAAACTACATACAGTTTTGGTAAAACTACATACACTTTTGTCAAAACCGTATGTATTTTTAAAACTGCATATAAACTGCATATAGTTTTTGCATTTTTTTGGACAAAATTATAAGTTTTCTGATGAAAACTGGTTTATCTTTGACCTTACATGTGAAGATACTTCATGGGAATGTGGTTCAATGGACTCCCCAAGTAAGCCAGCAGTGCCATCCCTCTAAACCTTCTCAAGTGTTGCAACTCGCAAGGCTGAGTTAACTGCAATCCTCAAAATCTTCACATGTAAGTTCTCAAGTAATGCAGCTTCTAAAGTGCAACTTGACTGAAACATTCAAATGATCCAATAGTAAGTTCACAAGTAATGCAACTTCAAAGACTGAGTTCGCTGGAATGTTCAATACCATGACAAGTGAGTTCTAAAGTAATGCTGCATCTCCACATGATGACCCCAATGGGATCTTCAAAACCTTCACAAGTAAGTTTCAAATAGTGCAACAAAACACGAGAGAAAATCATGTTTTGGAATCATTGTATCACAAGTAAATTCTGAAGTAATGCAACTCCACATGAAACATGTCACAGGTAAAATCTCAAGTGAAGCAGCCTTTTTTCACAGTGCGCACTCTGCCAATATAGCTCTGAAAAGTTTCTGAATTAAAGGCATCCATTGCTTACCAGTAAAACAAATTCACAAGTAAAGCTGCCAAGCCCAAAACATGCTATAAAGCGCTATGTGTAATGACTTTCATGTCAAGCAGCAGGATCTCAAGTAAATACATAAAGACAATAGATATGTTGCTGCCAGCTTTCTATGCCCAGAGCTTGTTCAACAAAGGCAAGTCAAAATTCATCTAGTCAGTGTGGCAATGCAAAATCATGTTGCCACCTCCACAGTGAATTGCCTCTGAATGAAATGTTTGTCAGGGATTCCCTTGGCAGTGCTCAAACAGGAGAAGAAACACATCCAGACATTGATGATCAGCATCCAAACTTTGTCCACCTAGTACATTCCAAAAAGGTTGCTTTTTTTTTTTTAACCTGTGGTAATTTTGAATGCATGCCATATGCATTCTTCTTTCAATAAAATGAAACAAAGCATATTACAACCCTTCCAAAAGAAAACAGACCGGGTAATAACAAGTCCAACACTTGAAGATAAGAGGTCCAAAAATGGAATGCAACAATTCCAACAATATTCCAGAACCAAAATCATATGTTTTTAAGTAAAGCCAACCAAAAAAGAAAAGAACAAATACAAAAACATGTGCATTTCAAGGCAATTTGTCTTGCAATACTTCTCAGAAATTAAACAAAAAAACATCAAAAACTATATATGTTTTCAACCAAAAAAAATGTCCAAAAAAAATACTTAACAAGTAAATTTAATTTACTTAACAAGTAAATTTAATTTACTTACCAAGTAAATTAATTTACTTACCAAGTAAATTTACATTTACTAGGGAAATTTAAGTAAATTTTCGTGTAAATAGCTAAATTTAAGTAAAATTTGTGGTTAGTAAATTTACTAGTTTCGGAGACTCAGGGTGTTGGCATATGTTGAGAAGGAAATAGAAATATTGAAGCTCCTGCGACGCATGACTTTGAAGAATTGTCTACTTACCGGAAAAGCAAGTAACAAACGTGCAAGTGATTCTGAAAGGTTCAAGCATTACAAGATGCATCTTGCTCTTGAAAAAATCTGTCTGCGGAGAAGCACAGGTGATAGAACAATGGGAAAGAACAAATTATGTCCAAGATGGACTGGCACTGCGAGCGGCCTTTCGGAACTTTTGCGGCGTTGTGGAGAAGCATGTAGAAGACATGAAAGCGCGGGATTGCTTGGCGTTGCATTGCGCCAGGGTCGTGCTATTGGACAACAACCGCAACAGCTTCGCACAAAGCACGCACGGGCCTGGCTGGCGCACGGCGCATATATAGATGACCAAGGCTTTATAGTATACCCCTAAGACAACTTCCGCCCCGCCTCGTGCGGGTACTACTGCTATTTTGATATATTAAGATATATTATGATTTATTATGATATATAATGATATAGCGTGATATATTTTAAACATATTACTATTAATTATAAGTAATATATATATATATATTATATATATCATATACAGAACAATCAAACATGATTAAAACTGTTTTAAAGAAATATTGTCAGATGGGCCTACGCCGACATACAACTTTGAGAAAACCAGGCGGGGGGTGGCAGCCGCCAGGCGACTTCTCCGCTTAGAGCGCCATCCAGCAACCTGCACAGGTACCTTGGGCTGCAGGGTATTCCACTGGTAGGGAAACTCTTCCGCACATCATTGCACATCTACATATAATTAATGGGATGCATCCTGATCATCATTTATGATATAAAAAATACATCTGTTTTTTCTTCATATCTCGTTTTTCACTGAAAAAATCAAACATCAACTGAACCTCCTGCTAGCTCACAGGACGGCAACGATACATGGAGAGTCTGAAAAGCTCGTGCATGACGAGGCAGCGAAGTCAACCAATGGGCATACCCTCTGGTAAACTAACATAGCTATTGAAAATTGCCATTTATACAGTAGCGGATTTTCCCATTAAAAATTGTGATTTTCCATAGTAGTTTTTTGTATGTTTACCAGGGGGTAACCCAAATCAAGGACTTGACGGATTGGTTGTCTCAATCCATCCTGGGGATTCAAATGCCGAAACTTCCAACCCAGCGAATCCCTAATAGTCTGGAATAGTGGTGGACTACCACTTAGACTTAATTCATATTAATTCGAATTACAATGGTGATCCATGGGTGAAAGGAGTCATTTTATTTTCAAGGTCATGTAATCACCACAGTGATAACTCACCATGTTATTTTCCATGGTTGGTGTAAGCCTCATAAACATAACTCCGGCCGCGCTGCTGCAACATGTTTTGTTCGCGCTGTGCCGGCCTCAGGAAACGCTCTTGGAGGATATGGTTGAGCCATGCTGCTGAAACACCGACTTTTTGGGTTCCCATCAGTTGGTACCGTCCAGAAAATCCCGGTAAGGCAAATATCCCTTACCCTGAATGGCTCTAGATTTGCCTTCCATGTAGCATGGGGGACCTCATTTTGAGCCCCCCGGCATGGTCGACACTTCATCACGGCTTGGAAGAACTTCAACCTGAGCAGCGGAAAGGAGGGATTCAACCCCTGAAAGTCTTGGAGCATACGAGGGGTTTGAACTCATACAGTGGGAGGAGTTATATGCATATATATGTATATGTATATCACTAATCATTTAGTCACTAATCTCGTTTTAGGGTCTAGATCCGTGGGGTTTACATCAGCCACCTTTTTCAGCCAAAGTAAGATGTCTCAAAGCAGCCTCAATTGAGACATTTTGAACACGGTCCAAGGTCGACAATGCCATATCGTGTTTGAGACATGACCCAAACTTGCCCGACAAAAATGCTCAAAATTGCTCGAAATGACCCAAGCTGGCCCGAAAAAACTGCTCAAAATTGCTCAAAGCTGCTGAAAATTGCTGAACATTGCTCAAAATTGCTCAAAATTGTTCAAAATGACTCAAAATTTCTCAAACTTTCTCAAAATGGCTCAACAAGTGTCTAAAGGGGTGATGTGCTTGCATATGCAGGTGCGAAAGTTGTCATTACTTGGCATTGCTGCTGCCGGTGTCTATTGTTGCATGGGCTTAAGGTCAGTGTCAATTGCGCCGAGGTCATCCCTGCTGCTACGTTCGGAACCCTCAATCGTCAATTTCAACTGACAGGGATCACTTGTCATTAGATTGGCTGCCATAGTTTCAAGTAACGGCCTATCCCGCAAAATCATCATTGCCTTGATAGGAAAAAACTGTTCATGCCCGCAGTTTCTTTTGTTTCATTACTGCCTCTTGGTGATACCACATGAACTTCTGTTTTTTTTTCGTTTTTGTTTTTGAAATTTAAAAGGCATCGGATCTAAACCTGACGGATCTACACCCCAAATTGCGAACAGTGAGTATAAATACATGTATATACCCGTATATATATAATAAGTGTCGTCACTATCATGTGGTTGTGAAACTCTGAGTAAGTAGCTGCTTAGCTTCCCATGTTATAGGGAATATGGATACCCCCAACCACCTGGTTGTTGGCACAAGCTGATGCACAAGTCATGCAGTGCCATAACTCACTTCCCTCGCCTGGAGTACGTCCTCATCCTGAAAATCATCGGCAAAAAAGTCAATGGCCACTGCCTGCCACCAAGCTCGCCATCCCTGGGTGAATCTGCCGTCCCCATTGAGTTTTGATTGCAAGGGCAGTATTACCTGGTATGACATATCACCATTTTCTCATGCTTCCCTTATTTCTGGTTTTCAACCCCCTTCTCATGCCAAATGTCAAATGATGTCGCCATGTTCATCCATGTTCTATCTGCTTGGGGGGTTCACCCTGCACAATACATGTTAAATCAACGGGATTCAATAGAGATCATCTTCATCCCCAGGTGTTCACCAGCTATGGCTACCTCCTCAGCATCATCCACGAAGCAATCGACTGCCTCGGAGATGCGTACGAATGATGCACACTTCAGCATCTTGAACCATGTTGATCCTACAGCACATGACACAAACACACGGGAAATCATACCTTCAGTAATTTAACGCAGATATGGAACATCACCATTTTTATACAAGTATTGGGTAAATAAATGTAAATCATCTAAAAGCTGGCATAGCAATTTATGCCCCAACTTCCGCAGCCCTGACATGGGCCCCCTGGCATCTTCCAGCACAGATGAGACGAAGCTGCGCACCTCGACTTCTAAAGCTGGGGGTCGTGCACAGTGCACGTCACAATCCATGGATTTTACTCCCCATATGTAACTTATTGTTCATAAGCCTAATGAATAATGCTATGCTATGCTATGGGCCATGGGTTTTCCATAACTGGTTCAAGAGAAAAGGAAGGGAACCACAGCTTTAATGAACCAAACATAGGAGGTTGCTGCAAATTGTCTTTCGGACCATTTCCCCAAAAATAACAGTTGTTTAGGATGAAGGGCAACAATGTTACATCCAGTGTGCACACAAAAATCAACAACATATTCTACACTTGATCGAGTTCATATGCCACATCACGTCCAGAACATACTATTATATATAGTGGTGGAGACAGAGCCGGAGACGAATAGAAGATTGAAAAATACGGTGAGCATATCATACCCAAAAACAGGTTGGATCAGCTTGTCACCTGCTTCAGGAAACATCAGAAAACCAATCTGTCGGGCGGAAATGTTAATATTTCACTAACGTGAATTTCAGCCATTTGGGGATAATTCCCCTTACTAAGCATGGTTCCAGCTTGAGGCCACTACAACCCATCCGTGCCTCGAAATCCATGTTTTGCTGCGAGCCAATTTTTGGTGGCCGCGTCGGATCGATTAATCGCTGGGACGGATCCCTTGAGCATCAATGGGGATCACATGACATGGTTGCGCCTTCAACCACACCACAAAAAAAAAAGATCTTGGAGCAAATGGATACAAATGGTACATGTAGAAACTGAACTGGCAGAGAATTCATGAATTCAATGAAACAACTCCAGCATCTGTGCATCCTTGTGCTACAGTACCTTGTGAACCCTCATGTCCAATTTGTTACCTGATGTTTCCTGTCAAAGCACGCAAGGAAGAGTCCGCACATCATTTCACAAATCCACAACTTGGTCAAGATGGACATCTGATCGTCTGATGGAACTGACACTTCCAGTGATCGGCCCCTTGAGCTTCCAACCTGCGCAATCCAATGAGAGTTCTTCGGACCAATCACCTGCCGGAATCTGGCAGGTTCAGCCAACGGGCTCATGAGACATACCCCCGTTGAGGATGCCAAGGAAAATGACCAGCAATCCTTGCAATGGATCAAGTCAATCGGAAAAGTAGACTTGGTCCAATTGGTAGATGATTAGCAATTATGATGCAATATGCAGCTATTAATTATTAACATGGCCGTTTTCCATGGCTATGTCTGATTATCAACGAATGCATATAGGTTTCCACCAATGGCACATTGGCAGGCGTTTTAGCTACATTGCTTCTGCTGGCACTTGGATTGCCACAGCTCACAGCCCCAGAGATTTCTGAAAGTAATTAGACCACCATGACCCAACGTCCCAGGGGTTTGCAAGTCACCATGGTTTCAAAAAATGTGGGGCTCAAAGAAAACCATTCGCCGTATTTGAGTGAGAGCTGTGGAAGCTGCCATACATCTGAAGCATCCAGGGCTTCCCTTCGGTTCCCTTCGGTTCCCTTCCGCGGCCTTGTGGTACACGAACTCGTACAGCAGTCACAAAATTTGGCAAAACCTTGCCACGTGTCACTCGTCCCATGGGCACAGCAGAATTCAACTTCAATCAGGTCCAGCCTATCAGCCTGTCAGCCTGTCCAATCAGCGATGACACAACTGCATGATCCAGCATGATCCAGCTTGATCCAGCATGTACAGATTGAGTAGACCTTGAAAGCTCCTCTGGTTTGATAAACATTGATAAACCTAACAGGGATACACTCACAAAAGTGATACAAAGTTGGACCAACATGGAGTACTGGAGAGGTGAACACAGAGTTCCTGGCCCAGTCATCCAACTGTTCCCACAAGGATCCCGTTGGCTGCACCATCAGCTGCGAAGTCACGTCGCCTGAAAGGGTGACGTCATAGATGGATGTTGCGATCTCTTGGAGTATCAAAACAATAATCAATCATTTTATGACTACGCCCTCCACACGGACCTTCGGCGAAATTATTATGGATCATATTGGATCAAATTAAAAATATTAAAATATATTAAAATCATAGTATGCAATAGAGTAAACATATTTGAAACTCACACAGGTATTTCTTTGGGATGCTTTTGTGTCCAAGGCTTAAAGCAGAATAAACAACAGTTAGCAGGAATCGTTCCAGTCTTTTCAGTTTGCGCATGCATTTGCAGTGCAAAAACAGCCAGCATCATACCTGGTTGGCAGTTTCAACCCCTCTGAAAATATTATTATATATATAGTCAGTTGGGATTATTTTTCCCAATGTAAGGAAAATAAAACATGTTCCAAACCACCAACCAGATACTCTCTCTCTCTCTCTGTTTCTCTCTCTCCCTCTCTCTCTCTCTCGTATTTTTACGTCACACTTGAAGCTAAGCCGATGTCATACATACATTCGTCTGGTTGCAAATGCTTTCGAGGTATTTCTACATATATATATATATATATATGTTCCTTTGGACAACAACCAGCAGTCATACAGTCATACAGCTGATTACATTGCTGATTATATATATATATATAGATTGTGTCAATTGTGGGCATACTTTGCCGCGTTCAAAGGCTGTTGTGGTGCCTTTTGGTCCGAGCCTTGTATATTGAGCCCACCGAGCTCCATTGGAAACTCACAAACGTTGATCACCTCACAAACGCTCAACGGACTGACGGATTCACATTGGCATCGACACAACCAATGTAAAACGCGTGAAACAAACTGGTGTAGTTTTGCCAGATATAGCAAGATCATAATTAAATGGTTGAAATATGTCGAAAAGATTTCCGTCCAAAAGAAAAATCTACATCTACGAGTCATCTACGGTGGCAACTCAGTTCCAGTGACAGTTCTTGGGCTCCTGGGCCCGAAAGCCGGCGGTTCCACCGTTCGATGGGCGACGTCCGCCTGCAGTGGTTCGACGACATGGCGCTTGTGTTTTCAACATGTTTAAATCTAACCATACGGTTGGATCCACGGTATGACATGATACGATGTATGTCATGACACATATATAATTTAATGTCTATGAGTATTGATGAATGAGTGATACGCAATATTCATCCATATAATATTACACAATAAAAGAAACGACACGAGATGGCATGACATGACATTCATTGACATTCATCACTTCGGGCATGCGCAGCTCGGCAGCTCGGATCCGCCTGCACCAGCCGGCACATCTGTAGCCCTTGCGAAGCGGACAGCGAATCTTGGGTCATAGCTGTCATAGCTCCCTGTGCTCCCTGGATCCACACTGCCAGCTGCCTGGAGAAAGCATCCCAAAGCCATGCCTGAGAGGGCATGGCTCTGTCTATAAAGGATTATTATATAAATCTATGAAGGGGCTTAAAACATTTGTATTTCGGACTTCACATACCTTTCTTATCCTTTCTTGTAGATCAAGCGGCCTAGCCTAGGCACTTCGATTGATTTTAAAGCCACTGGAAGCCTTTAGCTCCTCATGTTGCACCGCACCGTGCCTTCCCCAAACATTAACAGCCAAATCGGTATGTGCCAGTGCCTCACATGATGCAACAACTGTAGGTGGAAATCTCTTCACCCTTCAGCCCCAAAAGTCGTGGAAATGTGACGAAGAAAGCCGTCCCAGGTCCTAGCCATTCCCACAGGGTCCCCCCACAGTCCGATGCACCATGCTGGGGGTGATGTTCACCTTTGAAGCGCCAGGTTTGAACCCTTCAGGACCAACTTCCACAGAAACATATGCAGAGGTCTCTGGGACCTTCAATACGAAGGAGAACATCCAACTTCAAAATCAAACATATGTCCAAGTTGAACTGATTGAAAAATATGTGCGGCACATGGAAACATTTCACTAAATCAAACATGTTGCTGCTTGCAGCCTCTTGTCGCTTCAGCAAAACCAGTCCTCCCCGAAACTGTCCTAACCCTGCGGCACCAGCAACGGAGATCTGCCAATCAACCTGAACTGTTGAGTACCTCAGAGTCGCCACATGGGAGCTGCACTGTGTGGTTCATGTCCATGACATCATTTGATGGAACTTTTCCCAGAACCATTCCCAAGGGCAGTGCAGTTGGTTCCATCATTGGTCCTCTCAACCTGCTGCAACAAGTTGGGCACAACATCCATGGTTAGTGGTTCCAACTCTTTCACGAAGAACACGTCCGAGCGAAGTGGTCTATGATCATCGCAAATTGCGATATGGCTAAGTCTGAGAATTGTTTAGACCCCCAAGATCCCCCAAGTTGTTTTTTACATGACGGTAAAACAATGATACTCAGTACTCATTCACAAGCCATGGTTGTAACCACCTGCAACATGCCAGAGAAGGGCTCCAAACATGGCCTCAGCGGCGAGGAAAACCCCATGTCTCACTGAAAGATTCAAACATGTTGTTTTGTTTGGGTCTGATTTCACAGGTATTTTGAAATATCGTAACACAAAACCTACTTAATTAATCAATACAATCATGTTCTGTTCCAAAAATTACTGAACACACAGCTCTCACAGCCTGACCATGCCTGACCTGTAGTTGTAGGAACTTTTGGCAACCACACAGGAAAAACATATATGGAGATTTGTTTGCGCCTTGCAGCATCTCATTCAGGCTAGTACACTGACACGAACATACACGAACTATGAAAATACATGACAATATATGACAATATGTAATGCGTATGAAAAAACATCTGTCTATCAATCTAATGATGTATGATACGTATCTTCTCTTTTGCTCTCTTCTCTGGAATTCCATGCTATCACATCGCATCTCATCTAAGAAATCTATCCGTCTGCTCTCATTATGGTTTCTACAACACCCCCGCAGCATCCACCTGCGAAATTGCCGAGGTACTCCCATGCACCTTGCGAATTCAAAAGGTCCAGTTCCAAACTGCGCAAATCCTCAGCGCCGGAAAAAACATGGTCCATTTCGCGTACCATCAGACGGTACACATACCCAGCTGGAATATATAGGTGTCTGAAAATCCCATCTGGTCATGACTAACATAGCTATGGAAAATCTTCATTTTTAATAGGTAAACCATCTATTTCTATGGGCCATTTTCCATGGCTATGTTAAATAACCACAGGGTATCTGAAAATGGTGTTTATTAATCCGAACTTGCCATTATATTACATAGATCGTTGCAGCAAAATATCGGTAACATGTAAAGTGTAAAAAACAACATGACACTTTATCATCACACGGCGTTCAAACTCTATATGCATGCGTGATCTAGGTTTGGAAGCGCTGCACGGAGGCATAGGCATAGCTTTTTTTGCCCGAGGCTCCCAAGCAACACACGTTGCTAGCCCTCCAGGAATCAAACATTTTTTTCATTCTGCAGCTGATGAAGACAGTTCTTCGTGCTGTTCATGCGATCTATACAAGAAAACAGCCATGTCAACGAGGGCAGTCAAAAATCCCATCAATCTACACGCATGCTTTGCCCGCGTGCCTAGATTTTGAGATTTCCACTGCCATGCCATGCCATGCCCCAAAAAAATAAGATTGCGGGAAGATCTGGAAGGTATATCAACTCAAACTTCCACAAATCACAATGCATCACAATATGTATCACCAATAACTTGGGGCTTCCCACGGCATCCAAAGAGAAAAGTGCTGGGCTGGACCTCAGCTGGGATAAACTGGCTGCCTGCACCCAAATACCACTTCGCAACAGCAAAGCGACCCCTATTAACCACCAAAGTATATACCTTTTAGCAGTTCGGTTTGTCCGTAAATGCAGCCCACACCTGAAACATTGCAGTTTCATGCCATTTCATGCCATTTCATGTCATTTCACAGTGCAAAACGATAAAAAAACGATAAGAAGAAACCCCTGGATCTTTGCGCCATAGTTATTTTTTGGACAAATCCAAAAGACAGCTGAGACAGTGGCTGCACATGCGCCTGCAGGGCAGGTTTTCCCAAAACCAGCTGCGCCCGAAGGACCTGGGCGAGGAGCTGTGCACCCCATAGATCTCTCTCTCTCTCTCTCTCTCTCGCTCTCCATCGCCCCAAAAGGGAAAGTTGCTTTATAATTGTTTATGTCGTGTCCTTGTCTAAAAGAACGATATTAATCAATTATAGTAATACTATGTAATAGTACTGTACTGTAGTTAATTACCATCTGGCTATTTAACATAGCCATGGAAAATCACATTTTTTAATAGGTAAACCATCTATTTCTATGGGCCATCTATACCATGGCTATGTTAAAGAACCAGTAATTCAGCGCCAGGGCCACGTACCGATGCCACGCCATCCGAGGCTGTGACCTCCAAACATGGCTTACTTAGAAAATCCTATGGAAAAATGGTGATTTGTTGGGTTCTACCCATGAAAAATTGCGATTTCATGGATTTTCATTGGGAACCCCCCTATAATCTTCTATAAATGGGGGGTTATAGCTTGGAAAATCACCTGTAATACTATGAATGGTGGATTTTCCATTGCCATGTTTGACACTGGAGGGTAATGAAGTTTTTTTTTTGGCTGTCAAATCCCAAGTTGGACATCCTTGATCATGTTTTCACCCATCCCCATACGACATGTGCTGTCAAAATATGATGTTAAATAAGTGAAGTGAAGGGGGGACGAACATGTTTCAAACATCTTCGAACTGCGAAGCCAGCAAGAATCCATCGAGTCAGGGCATTTCCCCTGGTTGCGGAGCGCTGGGAATTCCTTGGAAATCCTGGTCCTCCGTAGCGAATTCGAATACCTTTTCCAGATGGAAGCATAGATGAGTAGATGATCATTGCTTTAGGGCTTAGAGCGGCCCGCTGATATTGGGGATAATACATGTTATTTAAATAATATGTTATATAATAACACGCTATAAAATCTATAAATATCATATGTATAACTGTATA